GTGTGTGTGCGTGTGCGTGTATGTGCGTGTGTGTGTGTGTGCGCGCGCGTGTACGTAAATGTATGTACGTATACGAAAAAAAATATTCCTCTACAATTACGTCTGAATCTGTAATACCAACTGAATAAATGCCCATCGTATACATCGATGATCTCCTCCGTTTTTGAAGCATCACACATATTGTATGATTTTCTTCAATATTGCGTTCCTATTTATTTCATTCGGATCTCTGTTTGACAACATTACATCACATCTCGCACAACATTGTATCAAATATCATTTTGCTTCGATAAAAATTGTATTTTATTCAATTGAAACATATTTCATGGAAAAGAAACACTATTGAGAAATGATAACTTCTAGTCTTCTCATAAACAACATTATTTTCATCTACTGATAATTGTTTCGTTGAATCAAATTGTGTATCATTCAATTGTAACGATGACAAACCATTTTTATTTCGTACGCACTGTTTTTCGTTTCATTTATTCTTTGAAACAACTGATGTAATGTCGATTTAAAAACGTTGAAACGATCTCATGACATGTCATTGGTTCGAGCTAACCCTTAGATCGCGAGCCACACGGAAGCGAGACGATCGCAGCGTGCGGTACAGACTTAGTCTGTTTCATCTTTACGATGATGCCCTCACTTCCACGCTCTTTGCGATTGATGTATTAATGAATTGAGTCACTGTCTTTACACTGTGTGAGTTCAGCGTCGGGCGCCTTCAGGCACTATTTTCACACGATCGAGATTCTCGAGTAAAGTGCCTATAAACACTGTTCGCGCTCTGCGAGCTCATGTACATTCTATCAATACCCGTCGCATATCGATCGTTGCATTCTTTTCAATCGATTACCGGTTGATATATAGCGTGCGAAAAAGTTCATCACCATATTACAAGAATGCGTTCCGAGCATTAACTATCGTCAGAGTTAACCGTTAACCTCTCGAGTTATTGGCATCGACAGTCGCATCACCGCGATTTAGGGCTAATTGTTCCAACTTCGTGGTAAGTTAACTGATAGTTAAATCATATCTCTATTTTCGTCTAAGTTGAAGGAAAAACGAAGACAAACATATGATTTAACTATCAGTTAACTTACCAAGAAGTTGGAGCAACCGGCCCTTAACCCGAGTCGGTATTTAAAACTCGGTACTTAAAAAACCAATGAAACGTCGACCTCGTACAAAAAGTATTTGGACCGGAAATAGCGAAGGCACGCGCGATTGAGCGAAAAAATTCTTGACAATGCGACCTATGGAATGTCCAATTTCTTCCAATTCTTTCAGCGCGGGATTCAACGTTTCTTTCAAATTTCGATTTCAATGGAAGAGACGACAAATTTCCTCTTCTCGACAAAATAACATTATTCTCCAACAATCCTGCCTATTGTATTCGTTCGATCAAAAATTGGTTGTTTGAACCATCTCAATAAACACATTATATTCAATGTAACAAAATTTATTTCATCTAAAGAAATCTTTCTTTTCTCTGTGCACGTAAGTTAGATACTACTGAGTTATCCATCACGGAAATCGGTCCAACTTTTTCTGATATGATGTTCAGCTGACATAATTTCCATTTCCGGCCGAATCGGTCGTCTTATTCACGGATTCTAGTACCATTTCTCGGACATTTCCATGTCCACCTTCTGTTTCATCTTGTCAATTCTGTCGCTGGTCCGCGCGATAGGAACAGGGATTTCACCTATCGTTTCTTTCCTCTCTCTCTCTCTCTCTCTCTCTCCCTCTCTCTCTCTCTCTCTCTCTCGGGATACTCATTCATCATGTGCATACACCCAATTGCGAGTTTCTTTTTCTTCTTTTATTTTCTTTTTGTTTTCTTTCTTTTCCTCCTTAGAAGATCCTTCTGGAATGTCTATATAGACGCTATCATCTAGCACACTAGTTAAAAATAATATTCAGTCATTTATAAGTTACTGCAGACTCTTCCGAAAGGGAGAGACGGTGCCGTTTTTCGTAACACACGAACAAACATCTGCATATGTTCACATTTTTATGTATACAAACACATTGTTACACACAATTTTCTATCCATTTTTAATAACCTTTGTAAACAAGAGATGAAAAGAACCCCTCAAAGTCTGGAATATTCGAGTCAACGTTTCGTGCGTATACATCATCGATGTGGAAAATAAAGATTTATGTATGCACATGTTTACAGCTATGTACGTTATCTTTACTGTATACGATAAGCGAATAAATAGGTGCGCTTTCGTTCTGCCCTGTGTCGGAATTATCTACTTTACTTGCGCGTAAATCGGACACGCTAGTATCTAATATATATACATATACATACATACATACATACACACACACACACACAACGCGCGCGCGCGCGCACAACACACACACACACACACACACACATACATATGTATATATATGTATATGTGTGTGTGTGTGTGTATGTGTGTATGTATATATATATATATATATATATATATATATATATATATATATATATACACATACACAAATTACAACTCACACAATGCGACGCAAAATAAAACGGACAGGCAAATTATCAACAACTGAACATGACGTGTGATATCTCCGAACGAATAAGTACCACCGCACTTCAAAACTGAGGTAGTACAAATGTTGCTTTGAATCTAACATGTATTTTCGATCGAAAATGTCGTTGATGTACGCCTCAATTTCAATCGAGAAATTGACGAAATCGAAAATACCGCTACGCATTTACCTGCTACGAGGTATTTTTTTCTGAACGCGTATGTATTTTGATTCGTGTGTTATTCGTGTCAGAAACACTGTCGCTGTATGCCTGCCTGCCTGCCTATTTACCTGCTTACCTGCCTGCCTGCCTGTCTGCCTGCTTGCCTGCCTGCCTGCCTGCCTGCCTGCCTGCCTGCCTGCCTGCCTGCCTGCCTGCCTGCCTGCCTGCCTGCCTGCCTGCCTGCCTGTCTGTCTGTCTGTCTGTCTGCCGGCCTGCCTGCCTGCCTGCCTGCCTGCCTGCCTGCCTGCCTGCCTGCCTGCTGCCTGCCTGCCTGCCTGCCTGCCTGCCTGCCTGCCTGCCTGCCTGCCTGCCTGCCTGCCTGCCTGCCTGCCTGCCTGCCTGCCTGCCTGCCTGCCTGCCTGCCTGCCTGCCTGCCTGCCTGCCTGCCTGCCTGCCTGCCTGCCTGCCTGCCTGCCTGCCTGCCTGCCTGCCTGCCTGCCTGCCTGCCTGCCTGTCTGCCTGTCTGCCTGTCTGCCTGTCTGCCTGTCTGCCTGTCTGCCTGTCTGCCTGTCTGCCTGTCTGCCTGTCTGCCTGTCTACCTGTCTGCCTGTCCGCCTACCTGTCTGCTTCACCCTGCGTAGCGTCGATAGCATCGCTCTCGACTGATTCTTTGGCGAAAATTATTTGGTACGTTTACGCCCGTTCGGAAGGTCATGCAGAACAGCCATGAGAGTCTACGATGAATAAACAGCTTTGCGAGAAGAGTATAGTATTCACGGGGAAACAAACATCAACAACAATGATTCTTCAAGTATCAACAACATTAACAACATCGGCGTTATAACTTATCGTCATTATTGTGATCTCTTTTCCTCCTTTTTCCTCTTTTATCTCGATCAATTCATTACTACAATCGTCAATGTGTCTCAGTCTTTCGCCGCACCTTCAGCTTTGTATAATGTCTGTATAATTGATTGGCAATGATTATTACCGTTCACGATCATTGTCTTCAGCAACATTGTGTCTAACTTTTCATTACATTTATGTTAGCCGCTATGGACCGTGGTCTTAATTGTTGCTATGGTCTCGACTCTCCCTTTGCTGCGATCATTATATTATACATTTTTGCATTGTTTCGCTACCGACCGTGTCTATAGTAACAATGAACTATGCTTGTGTCTAGAGGAGATAGTTTCCAAGTGTCTGTTTCGTGCGCATTTACGCATCGAATACCTGCGCAACGCCATGTACGGCGCAATAGCGACGCGATGATGATACTAAACGCGACAACGGATAAGCGTCGCTTCTCTCGCTCATGAAATCATTCGATTTAATGAATACTAGAACGAAAACTATGAAAATAGGTCGGTAGCCTCGCTTACGAAATGTAATCGAGTCGTTTAATTTCATAACGCATCTACTAACACACACATCGTACAACCACTTGTACATCGCGCAAATATTCGATATAAAATGTCCATTTTTTTAGTTTTCTTATAGTAAATAAAAAGCGAACGCACGTCCAAACTTCGTCCAAATGATTCACTTCGCGCTTCCGACATATATATATATATATATATGTATGTGTGTGTACATACATACGTATATACATACATATATATATAATTCGACGATATATAAATACGTTGTATAATACTATACAGTATATTACGTGCTATGTAATATATACGGTGTCTAGAAATACAAGTCCTCGAGCTTCGTCACAAGAATCGAGGAGAATGAATATTTTGGAGCTTTGTGTCCGTGAGAATTAACACGGTATATAATTCGTATGCATGGCTTCTTAGGTCGCGACTTATAGATACGGAAACATAGGACGCAGTCTTCTCGGAATACAATATACAAGATATATATCCCGTAACTGGTGTGGCGACAGCGGAAAAAGATTATTGTACAATTATTCTGTACTCTCTCTCTCTCTCTCTCTCTCTCTCTCTCTCTCTCTCTCTCTCTCTCTCTCTCTCTCTCTCTCTCTCTCTCTCTCTCTCCCCCTCTCCCTCCCTCTCTCTCTCTCTCTCTCTCTCTCTCTCTCTCTCTCTCTCTCTCTCTCTCTCTCTCTCTCTCTCTCTCTCTCTCTCTCTCTCTCTTTTACACACACATATACACACACGTATAGAATCATACATCATTTTCCTAGCTGTACCGCCAGCCACAGGATACTCTACTACGACTTTCTCAAAAGCAATATCTCTCCGTAGTAAACTCCTTGTTTCTTTCTTTCTTTCTTTTTCCTTTACTACATCTTTGTGCGGTAAAGAGTATTTAGCTTACGTTGCCTTAAGTATTTATTGAACAATATATAAGTACACGTTTATCGCGAGCGTGATATCAATAGTCGTATAACAAATATAGTCTACTGCACGACGTCGTAATACTGAGACTACAGATTATATAAACACCTTTACAAACAAATTAAGCTAACTCAGGGAGAATTATTGTCGTTAATCGTCTGCAACTGATACTCCGGGTTTTTAAGAAGAGAATGCTATATTATACATCACCGCGTCCCTCCTTTTTCATCTGTATAATCCAATGACTGCCTACTACATTTCGATATCTATGTGAAGATTAACCGAGATATAACCATTTTTCTTTTCCTTATCTTCGAAACATACGACACGCAGCGTATCGATTTATGCGCGTGCGACATAAAAATCGAATGGATCACCTACTCTACTCTCCTAAGAATCGGGTAAGCTTGTCTCAACAGCTTTATGTCGAAATACACTCCAGTGTATATGTCACATTTGTCATAACAATATAAGGGTACCCCTAGCATGATACTTAAAGCTCTTACAATTTTTATAACACACTTGCGCATAAATAGTAGCGGTAGCTGGGATTGTGGACTAGACATGATGTGGTTGAATATGAGACAGCCTGTTTGATGAGCTGGATCAGGATTTCATGCTATTATTCTCGTCTAGCCGCCTCTCCGTCGCTACCGTTAGCAGATTCGAAAATTCCATCTCTAACAATTGCCTCGCCTACGAAAGCCACAAAATTTCTTTCAGTTTACGCAAATCTTATTGATCTTGATGAACGTGTATATCTATATATCTGATTCATGTGCGATATGATGATGCAACTCAACAGCTGCTACTTACCTGCGTGTTTTGCGTAGGAATTTGCAGTGTTAACGCAAAACTATTTGCATCGAAACTTTCATCGAGAGCTATAAGCGCGCCATGTACACCCGATTCCAAGAGATTATTTCCATATTCCTGTGAAAGTGAACGTAAATGTCATATTTTTTTTCTTTTTTCTTTTTCTTTTTCTAAATGATGAATTTTCTTTTCGTAAATGATCAATCGCGAGCGAGGAAGAAACGAGAAACATTTCACCAACCTTCAATCCGATCGACTGTACCCATCTTATAACACGGTCGTTGCTCCATACCAACACGTCTATATTGGCACCTTCTGCCATTCGCCTCCTTTCCTCTAATTGCTGCCTGTCGTAATTTAGTCTCTTTAAACAGGAGATCCCGTACTGCAAACTTGTTCTATAACAAACAATCGATATATAGAATGATTCGTACACAAAGTGATCCACCTGATCATTAACGATCTCATTTCAAGACATGAGAAAGTATGTTTGTATCGATATGTTCGGTAAGTAATTATTTTACGCGGGGAAATGATTATTTTACACGTGAAAACGTTGAACACATTTCAAGATCAACTGCTTTTTTCTTTATTTTTTTTTCTTTTACGGAACGCTATATATCGTTATATTCCCCGTTAGAAACCCCTCCGTCCCGAGCCTCTGTCCTATGATCAGGATATAAAAATTCTTGCTTCCCACATTCACTGTGGGAATGACAATTTTTTTACAAACACTGCTCAAAAATATTTTCTTCGATTTTTCGTGAGATCCTAAAACCAACAGAAGAGAATTTTCAACTCTTTATTTCATAATAATATTACTCACATTCCTTTTCAATTGAAGAAGAACTATGATATAATTACTCGGCGATTTTTATAATTACTCGATGATTTCCCCTCTGTAATAAATGCTTTTCACATACATATTGCTTGAACATCTTGATATTTCTCTTTAAATCTATTTTTGAGCAAGATCAATTTTAAAAATAAAACGCGGCTATTTTTTTTTCTTTTATGACTAGCTACTTTTTCAACCATCCAAAAGTCAAAGAGCCCTCATCAGATTGTCTGCAGTGTTTACTATTCGTCCCATTTTGGTCCACGGGAGCTATTTTATTTCACTCCTACCCGCCGGTGAAACCGGTTAGGGCACTCCCCCATCCGCCACCCGGGGGACGCGCTCTCTAGGGGTTAGACTTCCCCCGAGAGTAACACAGTAAAAACTAGTGATATATCTTTTATCTTTTAACCGATGAAAACCAAACAAATTTGACATTATATGACAATTTTCCTACAAACATTATTCAAAAATATTTTCTTCCATTTTTCGTGAGATCCTATACCAATACAGAACAGAATTTTCAACTCTTTATTTTATAATAATATTACTCACATTCCTTTTCAATTGAGAAAGAACTATGATATTTACTCGAATTACTCGGCGATTTTTACAATTACTCGATGATTTTCCCTCTGTAATGAATGCTTTTCATACATACTGCTTCAGCATCTTGATATTTCTCTTTAAATCTATTTTTGAGCAAAATCAGTTTTAAAAATAACACGCGGCTATTTCTTTTTTCTTTTATAATAGCTATTTTTCCAACCGTTCAAAAGTCAAAGAGCCCTCATCAGGTTGTCTGCAGTGTTTAATCGTTCAAATGTTTACTGTCATTCACAGCGGATGTGAACTGCAATGGAAAAGCATTGTATATACGTGGACAATGTATAAGTTTATCTTCTAAAATATACAATGTCGATGATGATTACTTTATATATTGTTTCTCGGAAATATCATGGATACACAAGAAATCTTATAACAAAAATTATACGTATAAGCTTTAAAAACACGCAATCGTCAAACTTTTAACTGTCAGATAAAACTAATTGATTGTGATTATCTTCTTGAATAAAATATGTCGATAGTAAATCAAACGTAGTTACATTTGTTTTCGGGAGAATTTCTATGCGTTTTTGTTTCAAACATCCCAAAAACTAAAGCCGCAATAAACGAAATGTAATAACGTTTTTTTCTAAAAGTAATGTTGATGCAAACTTATCTTTCCTCTCCCACAATCAATCATCTTACTGTTTCCCCTCATCCTTCTCTCAATCAGTCTCATACGAGGGTAGTCTGAAAAGTTCTCGGCCTAACAATGAAAGAAAATTCTTTTTGCCGTGAAATATGTTTTATTTTTCAATATAATCTCCTGAAACTTCAATACATTTATTCCAACGTTTTTGCAATAATTCAATAACATCATTAAAATGTGATTCCGGAAGGTTCTTTTCACTCTGGTGTATAGTGGTGCATCCAAATTTCATCAACAATTGTGAAACGATGCTTGAAATCCATTTTATTTCGCTTAAAACGATCCAAACAAGCTTGAGAAATACGCATTCGAATGCGTTTTTGGTCAATTGTTAGCAAATGCGGCACCCATCTTGCACAAAGCTTTTTCAATTGGTGCTACTCGAATGATTTGACAGATCGAATAAAATTTTACATGGGTTTATATCAGAGATGCCACTTTCCAATACAATTATAGTTTGACAGTTTCTAATGCCATGTATGTGTCAGGTCGAGAACTTTTTAGACTACCTACTACTACTATAGTTGCTGCTATCGGTATTTTGTCTCTCTCTCTCTCTCTGTGCGCGCGCGCGCGTGTGTGTGTGTGTGTGTGTGTGTGTGTGTGTGTGTGTGTGTGTGTGTGTATGTGTGTGTGTGTGTACCTGTGAAAACTGTCAACCATTCGGAGTTGTCCGCGAAGATCCTTTTTCGTAAGATGATCGAGCATTCTGGCATCAACAAGGCACTCCATAAAGGTGGAACGATATTGCGGCAGTCCAAGGCTGGGTAACCAAACATTCCCTATCCATTCGTGATTCATATCGCCAAATGCTAATGTTGTGCGAGATGTTTTCGGCGCTGACGGACTAGTGAGCGATACCATTTCTTGAATAGCTAGTCTCAGCTTTAGTCGGTGCAGAGGATTACTGTTAGAAATGTATGCAATACGATGCAATGATTATAATTACAATTTAGCTACGAAAAATAATAGAAAGTCCCTTCCTAATGATACCATTATTGATAATTAAATAAACCTGATAAAAGATAGAGTTAATGAAAAAAAAAATATCAATGGAAATGTCACGTAACTTGAAAAGATTGAACAATGACGCTATTAATTTTTCGACAATAGATCTATTAGAAAATCATTTTACAGTCAGTCCGTTTGTTTTTTCTAATTTATCATCACATATACATCGGGTTTTTAATATTCCTTAAAACTCACCTATTTTCTCGAAATACCCCCACACAGCACAACATGCCCTGAGATGATTATACTGAATCTACGCGGGAATATACGCGTCCCACGACGGTGGTCCTTTGTACAATTTGAACGTGTTTATGATGACTCTAGGACATCTTGTGCTATCTTGAGCATATTTCTCCCGCGTACTACAAGTCTATTCCTCTGTGAAAGTATTCAGAGTATATCGGAAAGACAGATTGTGTATATCTTCTAAATATTCAAGATACCCAATGTTACCCAAAGAATTCAAGTTAGAGGATTACAGGATATTTGTTCGAACAATTATCATCTTCTCTCGACACCTCGTATAAGTAATGTTTAGACCATTTTGTCCACATGAATCCTCCCTATACATTTTACAGGAGACATTTAAGAGATTTGGTTGAAAGTGACATTCTGATACTGGAAGACCAAAAAAAAAAAAAATGCCAGAATCATACCTTATACCAATTTCCCGTTGAATCTCGGTATCGCTAAGAGCACTCATGATAGCACCGCTTTTGACATTCGCCCGACAAGCAGCGACGTACCACGTTGGCATGCCTACCCAAAGCTCCAACCATGCGACAACCGTAGGTCCGTTCCACAGGGCGAAAGGTGTCCCGGCTTTCATCGCTTCCGCTAAGAGCTCGTGTCGCGAAGAATCCAGCATACTACCAAACATACTGGGACTAAAACAAGGCCGATGTGCTTATCACCGTGGATAAATTGTGCAAGATATCTGAGTGTAAGTAAAGTATCAGTCGTATGCTCGTAGATTGTAGCTCAAACTCAACAAGAAAGATCTCCACACGCGCGCGCGTGCGCAAACAAATTTAAGAGTACTAAAATTTTATATATTATAATTTTGAGTTATTAGCTAAAATGGATCGATCACGCACGATATGGTGAACAAACGGTGCTTGATTGATGCTTCGTTAAATTCCTCTGCTCACCACTCGTCAGTCGGCGTCAGCGAGCATAGAGTAAACATTACATCTTAGTAACATAACATTCCTTCTTGTTCCGTTTGAGTTGATACATAAGTACACAACAGATATCATACTTACCATCAGATATCTTCTACGCACTAAGAAGGAAAAAAAAATTAGAAAAAAAATAAGCAGGGTCATATAAGCCCTGTAATACGGGACAGGGGAGAGATTGACAATGTCTTTTTCGAAGGTACCGAATCTAATTTCAATGGTTGCTATATGAATACCTCTTCTTTTTCCTGCGATCAAAATCGCTTTTGCTTCCGAGCGTACCAGCCACAGCCACGCTATCTCCGTAATCAGGATCGGCTGGTGTACTCGCCCCTCCCATTCCTGGTACATCGCCTGGCATCGGTGTATCTTTTCCTTTGATCTGAACATACATTAAAAGAATAAAAATTAATTTTACACAAATATCTCCGACTTCAATTTATTAAGATGAAGAAAAAGAAAGACATCTTACTTTCTCCTTCTTGCTAAAAAATCTACCAAGGCTGCTCTTGATGCCTTTCTTCTTTTGCGCAGCTGCGACAGCAGCCGCTGTAGCGGGGCTCATGGTCGATTGCATGTGCAAATGCGATGTTGACAGCTGTCCGATAGGTAGTCCAACACCAGAGAAGTTGTTCTTGTGCAAACTGTCCTGGCTGCTGTGGCGTGAAGACAATGGGGAAGGAGGAGTCCCAGAATTGAGTGCGCCGTTGTTATGCTGCCCATGCCTGCTGCATGGAGCGCTAATCTAGTTTCTATTTCTACTCTAATCAATGCTACTGCATTCTAGCTCTCGTAAGAACAATGTTTCTTTTTTTCTACAAGTTTATATATTCTCTCAAGTGCATATGATTTTGTATAATATTTCGTATTGTCTAATTATTTATTACTACACCATTTTCAAGCGCTGTATAGCTCAAATGCTGTAAAAAGGGATGTAGTTCAAACGCTGTTATTTTTAAGTTGTACTAAACTTTGAACTGTATAAAAAAAGAAACAATGTCGAGTAAATCGCGACATTATTGTACCTATAATATAAGTCTCTATGCAGCACGTGTATATGCGTGATACAGTAGCAGTCCATCGCAGATTAACATATATATAGATTGTATCCATAGAGAGAGAGAGAGAGAGAGAGAGAGAGAGAGAAAGAGAGAGAGAGAGAGAGAGAGGGATGAGGGGGGAAGGATTAACATCAATATAAAATTAAGAAAATAAATACGAATATGCACGTAAGAGATAAATAGATAACAGAAACAAGTAGAGAGATGCAATGAGATTTCTTTTGCATTTTGTTGATATTGTGAAAGTAAGTTTCTTCCTTTATCGAAGACCGCGATAGTTATCGCAAACTGAGCGAGCTTGGATGTGCGACAAGTGGGACAAGCTAACGATATATTAATTTTCCTCGATATCTCGTATTTATCAAATGCATCGGGTTCTTTATCCGTCGTTGCCACTGTGCCCGAGAATCGGAACTGCGGGCATGTTGAAGCACTTTGCACGTGTATTTCTACCTCCGAAAAAATATGTTCAATTTCTTGAGTAAGCGATATTGCTTCAACAATGAGCAAGCGTATTACCGTCAACCTGACCTGAACTAACTTTAAGGTTATTCGTTTCATGCCCACAAGAGCCATTCGAATATGTGTCGTGCACAGCGGCGCATAATGCAACTTGCATGCAGTATTAGTATCTTTAATTAACCTGTGCGTGGGGAAACCACTGCTCGGAAATCCGCTCTGTCCTGCACGTCTGACGGCACAAACAATGAAAAGTAGAAACAACTTAAGAAACAATAGTGAACACACTCTGGCTAATCTCATCTCACACCTTGCATGTATAATGTAACGAAGATTGCAACAGAGATTACACGTATCAATCAAGGTTTCCCCACATTAAAAAGTAAAAGTTATAGCGTATTATTAATTGTACGACGTAATATTAGTTGTACGAAATTCTATTTGATTTTTTTAAGTGTCATACATTTTTGAGATACGATTGCCACAGCGTACAAATCATAATTAGTTAAATTTGTGATAGAAGTGATATGAATAGAAGTGATTGTGATATGAATATGAACGAAATTCGCGCATATTCAACGAAATAACAGCAATAACGAAATTAGTCGGAATTGAAAGCTAAAGTAACGAAAACACTGTACCTTCTGAGCTCCTCTTGACTATGCGCCAACGCTTGAACGACACGTTCCAATCTCAAGGATCTGGCTGTTAAAGGAGAAGCCGCGTCGCTACCACCGCTTCCCGCACCTCCAGTACTATCTCTCTCACTAACGGAGTGCAACTCTTCTCCTGACAACTGCAACTGCCGTGTATGGAGAACATAATTAAAAAAGAATTTTTATATATATATATATATATACAGGGTATTTTCTTCTAATCAACGCACTTGAACTTTGTTTCAAAAACTAAATGAGATATCGCGATTCGTTCTTCTGTTTTTTTTTCTTTCTTTTCAAGTATTACGGTACTATGGTACCGTGGTTTCGAAGGGGACACATTTGGAAAGAATAAAAAGTTTGACCTTGGGTGAAAGCAATCTGAAAGGGAAAGAGAAGGACCTCGATAAGATCTCGATATCTCATTTAGTTCTAGAGTTTAGTTCTATTCGAATACGTTGATTAAAAGAAGGAACCCTGTGTCACGTGATTTTTGCATGTATGAAATATTTTGGTAGACATATATCTGCCAATTTTTCTTCTGTATAAAAATAACCTCAGGTATAATATATCCGTATAAACACATTATCACACTGTACGTTTGTTATTGAGGAATCGCGAAAATTCGCCGAATAGATTTTATTGTTGTGAAAAAATGAATCATTTGCACATCATGTGTGGGAAGTCAAACAACGGCGCAAAAATTTGCAGAAAATGGTAAATCATGATGGCAGAATTTATTTCATTACGTATTTGGTAAATATTTGGTACGTACGTGGTTTCGTTACCACTAATTGCGAGTGAATATTGTGATTGCGATTGAAATTATAATTGTTTTTATCGATAAAAATTACTCAGAGATCGTATCATTCTTATCCTTATTCAACAAATATGGCAAATTCTTCGATCGAGCTAACAGTCATTAAACTGACTGATACAGCCAACAAACCTGACTAGCAGGAAGAGATTCCGATAATTGGCCTGGACTAGCTAAAGAAGCTGCATACTGATGCAAGTGAGCCGGAGACATCGACGCAGGTGCCTGTATTAGAAAAGAATATACAGCGAATATACGTGTAAATAGCGCAAATAAATAACCCGTCTAAGAATACTCGACAAGAAATATCTGTAAAATGTGCCTTTCCGCCACTTCGATGGAACTCGGCACACTTGTAGAGATGGCGAAATTAACAGACAGACACCTGTTAATTTCAGTTCAACTGCTGAGACGCAAGCTTGAGGGATTACATATACCTAGGAATGTCAAAAAATGGCCTCCTCTTGTTTTTATATATTTTAAAAGAGAGTTTCAGGTTCATATAATAATGTACAACATTTTAATGTCTATTTGAATTTGAATATGGAACGATGGATGTAGCGATAAGAGTTGAGAATAGGAAGAACTTACTTTGTATTGTCATAACGATATTAATAAATTGAAGATGAAGATTGAGGCTAACATAAGCTATCTCGTTCATTATTTAACGCCTCTTTCGCTTATATGTAGTTGACTGCATTTTGTATGAAAAACCATGTCATATTTTTCAAACTTCTCCTACATCTCCCATAATATTACCGAGATAATGAAAAAGGGATAAAACTTTGAGAATGTTGTTTCACTCTCTTTGAATTCACATCTCAGCAGCTATGGGTCTATTATTTTTTGGCTATTCTATAAACGCACCAAGTTTCATTCATTCATTCTCAGAGAGAATGGCACTTTCGTGAATGTTCCTTGTGTTAGTGACTGAGAAATAACTTGATCAGCGATCAAGTGACTGTACTAACGGTGTGGTATTTGTGCAGATAATCTCTGTTGGGACTATGGTGTGACTTCGGAGTGGATCGCCCACTTAACGGTGGCGAAGCTCGTTCGAGGCTTCGACCTCTCGCTAACAAATTCATGTGCTCCAGGCTGCCGACGCGAGACTCCAGTTCTTCCGCACGTGCTTCCGTACTCTGTTTCTCTTCCTACGAAATTATGCATGAAATTAAACTCAAAATAGATATAAGATCCTAAGTGAACAAAATCGTGTACGAAACGTTCTAGAAATATGTAAAACGTAAACGACAAACTTTACATTGGTTAAAAGATACGTAGAACATAATAGACGCTCTATTGAATTTAAAACAGTCTGTACTCTATTGTCTATGTCTGATATCAGTTTATAATATTATCTTTTTTTTACCTGTATCAATCTAATTTCGTTATTAATAGCATCTAACTGTTCTTGCAGCATTAACGCCAGTGTTTGGGCATCTGTATGGCCGGTAGGACTAATTACGTCAGCCGCACAACTGAATATACTTTCGTTATCTCCATCCCCCTCTGCGTCACTCGAAACGTCAAACGCTTGTTGAACGTTAGCGAGTACATGCGCTTGTTGTAGTTTTTCCCACTCCTGCTCTGCTAGAGTCCGTGCTACATAATTCTGTAAGGCAGCAATTTACGTATTATGTATGCCTTTTTTCTTAAATGCGCAATTACGTATGATACGAAGTTTCCAAATGTCACGTTTTAAATCCTTCCTGATATACGCGCGGTACGATACCTTTGACGAATCCTCTTCGATGGTTCGTTTACCACTTCTTCTAGGTAACGAATGCGTATCAAAACTACTGTGACTCGCGCTCCTCGAAAAAGAACCTGGATCTACAGCATTTGGAGATAAACTTCTAGTTAGAGCGTCAGTCTGCTGAATATTAAATGCAATCTCTTGCTGGAGCATTTGTCTCTTAACGTTATCTATCTCTAAGCGCGCTTTTCCCAATTCTTTAACGATGTCAGCTTTTTCATTCTGCAGATCTTCCGCCACCTTTCTCGTTTTTTCAAGTTCCTGAGTAAGTCCATTTTTCTCTTCCAACCATTGCATTCTCTCATTCAAATGCATTTGCAATCTTTCGTTAGACTCTAGAGGAAAATTTTTAATCGGATGTTACTTCAAATATTCAACCGAATCATATTATGTTTGTTTGAATAGTCGTACAATTGTACAGTAAGAGCCTGATGTATGATAAATATATTAGATAAAAATTACGCAACGCGCGCGCGCGCGCGCGCGTGTGTGTGTGTGTGTGTGTGTGTGTGTGTGTGTGTGTGTGTGTGTGTGTGTGTGCGTGTGCGTGTGCGTGTGCGTGTGCGTGTGCGTGTGCGTGTGTGTGTGTGTGTGTGTGTGTGTGTGTGTGTGTGTGTGTGTGTGTGTGTGTGTGTGTGTGTGTGTGTGTGTGTGCATGCGTGCGTATGTCTTTACCAGATAAGAGTTTATCGACAGTTGCACTAAGACGCGTATTATGCTCCTCGTTCATTTTAAGCCGTTGGTTAACACGCATCACCTCTGCATTCTTTTCTTCTAATTGTGTTTCCAGTCTTTGTATTCTGTCTTCTGCACTACCATGCCTCTCTTGAGCCTGCTTGAATATTTTATAAAATTTTAATTATTTATAATATTATAAATTTCCATCAAGAAATGCTATGTCTTATCTTATGAGAGAAGATTTGAAAAATAAAAGGGACTTGTTTGATCCCCCCAAATCTAAAGAATGACAGCACTCTGATTAGAATTATAACTGCAAGATCTTGCTGCATATTCAGAATGACAGTTTTGCATTTGGCACTGTTATGTGTCTGTTATACGATATAAAACGAATAGACTATTATCCAATTCAGTGCTCGCAATTGAAAATCGAATACGCATGTAGTTTACAGTTTTCGAAGGAATGAATCTCTTCATCTTTAATTTGCGTACTTGCTAATTGTTGCACGACATTTTTTACCGAGTTATTTAATGTTGAGATAAAAAGCGTCTTCTCGACTTTGACTTTTCACGAAGAGAACGAACGGATCAATGCTCGATCGTTCATTACTTAATTCTGCAAAAGAACTACAAAAGAACTACCTTGTTGATCCAATTTTGATGCAATGACACCTATTTGAAAAAATTTCTGTGTAATGGGATGAAATGTAATACATATTCTCACAGTCTCTTCTACTTGAAAGCTCATTAAATTCGATACGAATGTATCCTGATTAACTCTGATAATTCTGATTAAAAAAAAAAAAAAAAAGAAAAAGAAATAAAATAAAAACGTAAAGTCGGCAGCTACAAAACATATGCATACGCTTAGCGCGTTTTCTATATATCTCTCATGTATATATAACTTACACATTGCTATTTTAGCAGGAGTTATCGACTCTTGATGGAGCTCTCTGATATCACTTCTTTCGTAGGAATTTACGCAATATCTTACCAACAATTTTTAGAAAATTGTTCTTTTTTGCAACACACTATGCATTTATAGTACACGTCTACTGATACAACGATATAATGATACTCAGCAAAAATATATCTACAGAGATTTCACGCCCTTTGAATTTAGAAAGTGGTTTACGCAGCTCACATTTCTTCCCTGGTGGTAATTAAACGATGCAACATCCATCTTAAATCTGGTAGTATAAACACAAGAGAAGAATGAAGAAAACGAAAAACGATCACTCTGAGCAACAAGGTTTCGACGTTACAACCAACAGCGAGTTGTAATTAATTGTAAGACAATCAAAGTGTGCTGCCGCCCTCTTGAATCAAAAAGTCCCTTAACCTTTTGTCTTTTCTCGTATAAAGCTATTATTTATTTTAATTTAAAATTGTTTTCGACATAAGCGTCGGGATATATTATAATTGATAGAAATATAGCATAATTGTATCAGTATATAATTCAGAATGAATGATGAATATAAGAAAAATTTACATAATCATTATATTTTTCTGTTAAATTATTCTAGCATTTCTATTATAATCTAAAGACAAAACACTCTTCAATGAGAAAAAAAAGAGAAAAGAAAAGAAAACTGTAAACGGAAAAATCTTTTATATCCCAGTGAATGAGACCAAAAAAAAAAAGGAAAAGAACAAAGTATATGACATTAATGAATATCCAGGAAACGATGCATTGCTCATAAATCATAAATTATGAAAACATATTTGTCAGTCGCAAGGCTGACCAGTAACAGATTTTGTACACACCAAAAATGTCGACCTTTATTACTCACATGCTGCATTGTATCGGTTTTCGAGTTGTATGAAATAGAAAACGTAATGAATTTCGCGACGAATATACAGAGTATATAGAGTATATAGAGTATACAGAGTATACAGAGTGTACAGAGTATACAGAGTGTACAGAGTATACAGAGTGCACAGAGTATACAGAGTATACAGAGTGTACAGAGTATACAGAGTATGCAGAGTATACAGAGTATACAGAGTATGCAGAGTATACAGAGTATACAGAGCATATAGAGTATCTCAAAATTTGCAACGATATCATTACAGCAGCAAAGCTTTCGAAAAACTAAACAATCAAAGTCTGTTATTTTGTACATATTCCACAAGCAACCGTCTCTTAAATACATACTTGACAAATATTATCAAGAATGTTATGAAAAAATCGTATGATGCTATTTTAGAAATTTAAGATGACCTTAAGTTTGTTCGTAGAAATAGATTTTTTCTTACTTTCTTCTTTCTTAGACTACAATTTGTAGGTAGCGTGAGACAAATGAATGTTTACCTTACCACCTTTTTTTTAAACTCGCAATTGTGTCAAAAATTATGCCGACCGATACGATGAACACCTCCTGTATGGCATTAAGGTCCAATTTCATAACTTACTTTAACCAGAGTTTAACTCGTTGAAGTTAACACCTATCCGTACAAACTCGCCTGGTCGCATAATGCATATACACAAGATACTTGACCAACAGTATGACTAATGTAAAAGGTATTTTTTTCTTTTTACTGCACGGATCGTGGATTGGTTCATTTTCTTTATGCATATGCAATACGTGATTATGCGAGTATGCGTAGATAGACCTTGAACGAGTTAAACTCCGGTTAAAGTAAGCTGGGCCTAAAGGTGACTTTCACCAAGCTCCGGTTAATTGAAGTAACGGTTAACTGGCAAAGTTAATGATCTCTACAGCCCAGCTGACTTTGTCTTTTGATTGTTTCAAATATTATGAACTTTACGGCAATCAGCTGTAATCGACAAGTTTTATTACAGATGAATTTCAATTGTTACAAAGTATTAAACCCTTTGTTTGAATTTTACTCGTTAAATATATCCCGTTCAGAAAGGAATGCAATTTAAATATAATGTACATTCTCCTGAGAACCAAACGACAACAAGTATACTTTCAATTGTCTCACAAAACGTTACTCTCAAAAAAGTGATAGATAGATTAATTTCCATAAATAATTTCAAAGTTAAAATAATTGGATAATTGAAATTAGTTTTGATCTAAACAAAGGGTATAATTAAATTCTCAATGCAAATAAATTAAACTGTAAAAGACCAGCTTGTATTTAACAATTTGTATATTTCGTAAGAATGACAAGGACACTGCTGTGCAGAAAAAGTGTCAGATCCATATTATGTACGCCGCGAATACTGTTATCACATATCGTACATACAGTAATACAGAACATGGAGCAGCAAAATATTGCTTTTCGAGTATCTGAAATCAACTCAAATGTAATAGAAACACTTTGCGATAACGATGCATATTAACAAAAAGATAAGCTTTCTAGACACATTTTGCACCTGAGAAACGTCAGTAAAAGTGCAGAGGAATAAAAAAGAAAAGTTGGCGATGTGACGTGATATGATTCCCCTGCGTACCTGGTTGGGCCTCCTCACCTGCGTCAGAGCCTCCATCCTCTGCTTCAATTGTTCTTCCATTTCTGGTAACTTGGCATATTGTGCTAATTTCTGTTCCGCAAGTTCTAGTTTCTCCTGTATAGCCGCGATTTTCTCCTCTTGAAGCTTTTAACATATACCTTTCATTATTAATAATAAAGAAAACGCGACATCTGTTAATACTTGCAGAGTGTCCCACAAGGATACTTTCATATTTATTTGGTAAATTATAAAAAATGATGCGAATAATTCTAACATTGCCCAATCATACAGTCAACTGAGTTGTTTCCCTCTGTTTAACATATTCGCCAGCGTCGCGCATGTATGACGCATCGATCTCTCACTTCAAGCTCATACACACACACGTGCGCGCGCGTACATATCTTCAAAAATTAAATTTAGAAATTTTCAATTCTACTCAACACGTTTGCTTGTCAACGTCACAAATATACACATGTAACAGCGAAAATTTTCCGTTCTATATACATATATATAGAATAATATATATATATATATATAGAATATGGCATGTGTGTGTGTGTGTGTGTGTATACATATACACACATACACACACACGCACACAACACGCGAAACGCAAAACGCAATTAAAGAAAAAAAACCTACAATATATGGTCTGATATAGGGAAAGTTCTCTAAATAAACTACAATAATATTAACAAGTTACAAGTGACTGGAACGTATAATTGGAAATTATTAATAATAAATTTTGATGTAATGTAAGCGCATTTAATTCTATATCAAACAGAAAATGTCTTATAATTTTATTTCTTATATTCTGTTGAAGGACACCCTACATAACAAAGATATAATGCAAATGTTATGTACCTTTAATTGAGCTTTTTTATGCTGTAATTCCTGTTCTAATTTCTCATTAAGATCGTGAAGACTAGTGGACTCTCGTTGAGCATTAAGATAACGTTTTTCTAGAGTTGTTATTCGCTCCTCTTGGTCCTTCTTCTGCGCTGCATTCTCCCGCAGATCTCTTTGTAGTTTGACATTTGTTTCTTGCGTCTTTAAAAGATCCTTCTGCGTTTTAGACAATGTTTCCTCTAACTCGGTAATTCGTCCGCTTAGTTCGGCTACTCGTCGTTGCCATGTACTTAATTCTGAGCTCTAGAATAATATTTGCATTACGTTATAGTGTTAGTTGTATCAGGAAAAGCTTCAAACTACTCGTATACTCTGATAATTAAAATGTATGAACGTGTTATATAATTCAAGTACGCGGTACTTATCGTAATCTTATGACAAGTACACGTCTATATGACGCTAGGACTAATTTGAGAAAGTAACGATACACTATTATTCGTATATGTAGATGTTCCCGACGTTTCCAGTGTTTCCAGTTGTCTTGTGTTTGTAAGAATAAAAAAGAAAAAAAAAACACATCGAGGAAACAGCGAAGCTTATCAAGAAATATATGTCGACTCGGCTGAAATCCATTCTTACTCACTACTCATGCGATTATAAAACGTTTAACACGAATATTTATCACTCATTCCATGACTAACATGCTATCACTGAAAATATCGTATAAATGAAAAGATAGCTCGTATTATGCGTTCTATAGCATTAACAATCAATCACGTATTTGATATTAAATTGAATTATATACCCATGTATTTAAACGTGTATTCAAAGTTTCATATAATTCTGCTGTTCTCGAAGTAACCTCTTTCTTCTTTTACAAAACAAAAATAATATCTAATATCACTTACTAAAACCTCTGATCGTGCACTCTAACGAGCCGAATATATAACGAGGTGCATGTAAACCAATTCTTTATGTAACAAAAGATTTCTTACCAAGTATTTAAGCAACACAAGCTAAAAGTAATATTATGAAATGATGGACATGAGGAGTTAAAAAAAAAAAAAATATATATATATATATATGTACACACATATATATGTATATATATTTCTTTTTAATTCTGGATCCAGTTGTAAAGATAAGACGGAACAATATTGAGTGAAATTTTTCTGAGCAGAGCAAATGTTCGAAACTACACAAACTGCGGATCAGGCACAAGCTTTCGTATCAGGAAAATCTTCATACCGACTGATAGTTCGAGATATCACACTCCAAATTTCTCATTATTTTCGCCACACATTGAGCAACGCTTAAATTTATTTTTGCACATACTCTCTCCTTCCTTCCTTCCTCCTTCATTCATATTCTCACTCTCTTATTTCCTGTCCTCACTCTTCCCCCCCTCCCCCCCTCTCTCTCTCTCTCTCTTTCATTGTGCAAAAACATTTGTAATTATAATTATGTACAACCAATATAACGTAAGCTCTGCAGAGAAAAGTAAGTACTCTGTTGGTAAAATTTTCAAGTACGTATGACATCCCCTTAATATCGCGAATGATCCATGCATTTCAAAAATGAATATCACCGTTTTGTAGGTATATATATTTGAAAACTGAGAGAATGCGTTGTACGAGATAAAACTTGTGTGATTTTAATCAAACTTATGAACTAGACATTATAATATTTACACGTGTTTGCGAAAAGAGACGGAGAGCTACCTGAGAGAGAAATTCTGTTAATGGTCGACGATTTCTACTCGTTTCGTCCTACGGTACGGAATTCATACCTGCTTGTCGAGAGTGGCCTGTAAGTCTATTACTCGCACCGCTGAGTCTTGATCAGCTGGATCGAGACTCCCGTTGCTCAGTCTACTGCCAGCTTCAACAGAGCTCTCTGTACCTAGCTTTTGTTGCTGTACCAGTAGTAGTTGTTGTTGTTGTTGTTGTTGTTGTTGTTGTTGTTGCTGCTGCTGCTGCTGCTGCTGCGTTTGATGTTGCTCGTGATGCTGCTGTTGCTGGCTTCCTGCCTGTTCAGTCTCATTCTGCCCGATCACAACACTACATTCAGAATTCCTCGCTCGCATTGCCTGACCTGCATCGCCGCGTAATTCCAAAAAACTACATGTACACAGCTACGCGACTTTACACAGCTACCTGGCATGCACTACGGCAGATGCATTCTTATTGACACAGAGCGCAAATCGACGAGCGACAAGTAAAAAAATTCTCCTGTTGCGTTATCATTTATTACGGTTCGAAAGGAAGATGTACAATTGTAGATGTACCATTCGCGCGTGAAACGCGTAAATATTATTTTATATACGCAAAGGCATTATAGATCCATATAACTGATATTTCAAATGTAAAAACGCCTATAACGAATGGTTACTTTGCGCGTAATTTTATACGGTTAATATCTTTCATTCTATTCTTCGTGTGAAGAATAGAGAAAAAAAACAATAACTACAACAACTTTATTAATATAGCAAGGAAGAATATTATAAATTACGCAAAGAAAAAGAAAGCAACCAATAGACAAAGCAACAGCATTAAAATTGCTTTTATTGTCTTATCTGAACATAAAGAAAGTTCGGTATAGAGCGTCAGATTAAAGTTTACGAAAATTAAACATCGAAATATGCCATGACTGTCGAAATGTTTCGATGAAACGATGAAATGACATAATTATAGCGTCACGGTATCGATGACAATTTGGCAATATTACGGAAGCGATGACATGATGTCGATTGTGTGTTATCGATCATTCGATTCGATTAATGTCTCTGGTACGAACTAACAATTTATAGTGATTCGATAATGTAACCCAAGCAAGATATAAGAAGGAGGGAGGGAGGATGATGTAGAAAGAGGGAGGAGGGAAGGAGAGAAAAAAAGAAGTGAAGACATATGCTACACATGAGCATGCAAAGTGAAAAATTCCACAGATGCATTTCACGACTCTTGGACAAATTTTAGAAAAATACTTCCACTTTTATCCTTGATTAAGATATATGTGTATAAATAAATATATATATATATATATATATATATATATATACACATTACACACACACACACACACACACACACACACACATGTATACATATATGGAAAGCGGTACGTGTGTACATGAATATCTGTGAGTTTTTATGCACAAATGATTGAATTAATTGAATAATACTGATAATTCGTTGATACCTTATTCTGTTGCTGACCTTCGTCCGCTTGTCCATTCTCTTTCGGTCTGTCTTCTATAGTTTTTGGCGAGTGCCCGCTTACTTTATACTGCTGGAGCTGTAACCGCATTTGCACGTTCGGTCAACAAGATAACATTTTAATAATGAATAGTGGTATTCGGATTTATATATTTATTAAAACACAAAACTCACTTCTTCTTTGATATGGACCAATTCCTCCTCGAGACTTGTATTTCTTTCGAGGGCCACGCGCAAACGCTCGCGCACCTAAGGTTCATCAGTAACATTAACCTACCAATTGCTAATTGTGTAAGATACCCCAGACATCTAACGAACGAACTGTATAAGCCATGTTTCATCTTGCGACCGCGTCGACGCGAACGTCATTCCATCCAGTGAATATTATCCCACTGGATGTGGAATTCAAACAAGAATAACGGAATAACGCTCACATCAACGTGATAATTCCTAAGTAGTACGTGTAATCTTAGTATTTACAAATTTGTTGAGCAATAGGAATTGACTTTTCCTTAACAGAGATGTCGTGGGCTTAATATTTCTAGAGCAATTCCAAGCAAAATTGGAAACGAGGAGTTACCGCGGCAACGTCACTAAATATAATAGCAAACGATAGATTATTAGCTACCTTCAATCTTCTTCAATTTATAAATAAAAAATATACATGGCCGTTTGCAAAATGAATGCAATAGAGAACCTTGACCTAATCTGCATACATACGAACGTTGTAACATTTATCGTTCGATACTCTGTATGGAAATCACATATGTACTTTTATTGTGTAAGAGTCACTAACATGTAGAGATGTGCGAATCAAGAATTTCTATATCGAATCGAATCTCATTTTTTAAATTCGAATTCGAGTCGAATCGAATCTATGAAATTTCACTCGAATTCGAGTCGAATCGAATGAAATCGAATCAAATCATTAAAAAATTTAACATGACTATTAAACATGCAAATAACGATGGAAGATTTTAATAAGGGAAAGGGAATATTGATATTGTAATATCATTTTAAAGTAAAATATATGTTTAGATAATTAAAGTAATTCTTAATTAAGTTATTAATTATAAGTTAAGTTAATTACAAGTTAAAGGCTCAAACATACATAGGCCCAGATGGCCCGTTTTGTAGCTGATACACGCGAACGATAATGTACTTGATTCCCATTCAATTATCCGGATTCGAATCGAATCGAATTACGTTAGATTCGATTCGATTCGAATTCGAATAGTTCGTACATCTCTACTAATATGTAATTTTGTTATATTCATACCAGTCAACTAAGTTTTCAACCAATATCAAGTAAAGCTAATGAGAAAAGAACAGTGTTCTGTCGACAATTTTCCAACTCCAATTTTCATCCCCTTGTTTCAGTGATAAAGCTGTAAAATCTTCCAAAACTCGAACTTGGTAGGTTGATTATTATGTTCATAAGATGTTCATAAGAAGTTCAATTATCCTCTCTTCAGTATAATTAGTTCCTTTCGCGAAGAAGTGGCATTGCGATGCGCGGTAAATTAAATAAACGACAGAAATATACCTTCTCGTCCAAAGCCTTGTGATGTTCGAAGAGGCTTTTTAGAGCTTTGAGTACTTCTACCTCGGATGACACGCCAGACTGTGCAGCGGCTTGACGTTTCACCACCGTCATTCGGAGTGACCGCTCGTGTCGTGATACCAAACATTCCAAATGTTCCAGCAAAAGCTGCGAACATCAATCAACGAGCCGAACGTTAGATTAATTCACATAAAGTGACGCCGATTACGAGAACATAATAAGGGTTAAAATGTTAGACATGTGTAATGTTCAATTACGCACACGTGTATTGTTTCTTTCAGCTTTTAGCTCTGAAATCTCTTCTTCTCTCTCCAAGATGCTTTCTCGCGCTGCCGCCAATTCTTTCGTCAATTGTGAAAATTCCTGCACAAATATGAAATCGCGCACATTAAGATATATACGGAAAAAACACGATGCTTAAAATGAGAATCGGAAATTCCACTAAACATTTCAAATACGCGAATATATCTGTGGATTATAATTTCTACAATTTGTATCTTCCATTTAATTTTCTGTCTAATTCGATGTAGTACAGCCAAAATCATCAAGTACAATCTGAGTAATAAATATAAAGAGTAATTTTATGCAGAAAAATAAATAGTACATACAAGAGAGTTTTATTTCGCAGTTCAGTTTGTTTCGGGAAAGGTCAATCCATTCAAGATGAAAAATAAAACGATACGTTGGAGTTCAACTTTCACACAAAAGACGAGGCGCACGCTTTTTTTACGTTAACATAAAACGGTAATACTAAATAAGAAAGCAATTTTAAACCACGAAGTATTGTAAAATTTTGCCTCGAGGAGTATTACAAAATTCTACCTCGAGGAAAGTCTGACCGATATTCATGAACAGTAACAATGAAACAAACTAAATACTCTCGTATACCAACAGGACACCGCACGAAAGTGTCCGAACTCCGATTTTGATGAAATTGTAATATCTCTCGTAGACAAAAAATTAAAATCAAAATAGGAGACACGTGTTGCTTTCTATAGTCTCTACACGCACTTTTAGGGGAGAAGACATCCCGTAAAAAGAAGAAAAAAAAAGGGAGCGGGGGGAGAAATCGTACGTTACGTCTCATCTAATTATACTTATAATTAACATTGTGATTGAGTGTGTGTTATTAGTACAACCAACGTGCAGAATACTATTATTAAAAAAATATGTTTGCAATATTTCTGAAACATTGGAAATATACGTATATAATTTCAGTATAACTGCAGCATAATTGCAGCGATATTCGTGCGCAGAATATTAAGATAACAATATTCCTAAACATTAAGATAACAATATTCCTAAAATGTTCCTGCAACGTTTGCACGATTGCAACATTGTAATATATTACCGCAAACTTTTAGCAATATATTGCGTTGTAGGAGATGATATGATAGGCAATTGATAAAAATTGCGCTTGTTAATGATAATACAATAAATATTTCGTAAATTACCGAAAGAAGCTTTCGCTTTTATGTTATAACAATGCATGCGCATGCATACAAATATCGCGTACAAGTGTCAAGCATTAAAATATTGTAGCGATGTTACAACGCGGAGCAGAAGTTTCAGTAATCTTGTTGCTATTATAGCACTAGAAGAAATCTATTTCCATTATCTAACGATCCCCGACGCGAGGTTCTAGCGCTTTAATGCACGACGAATTTTGTTTTTAGTAATATGTATAGATCTGACTCAAAGTGGAACACTGAAAAGAAAAGATGTCCGCGCAAAATATATAATTTTATAAACAAAATAGAAATTTATAAAATAGAAATTAAGTCACTTGTGGCGATTGCCACAACAGCTACGCAAATGTTTTAACAACCACGAGTCCACGAATCGACACTATACACACAGCTACTGAGAAAAGTCTCTCAACGGATAATTTTACGAATTCATTTCAAATTCCACTACGGAACCATCATTACTCTGTCGATTGTCTTGACGGACAATCGTAACTCATATCGTGATCATGGCTGTCGATCAAACTGTTGATTCAACGATTCAACGATGAAGAGAAAAAAGAATGTATGTCCTTGGTACACTCGATGTACACTCGATGTAATTATTTCAGAGTGCAATTTCTTCCCTCCTCGCTTTAATGAGGATCGTTGTAAAAAAAGATACAATACAAATGAGGTCACTATACCTGGGGAATGTTTGCGTTAAGTTGACGATTAAGAGCGTCCCGTTCCTTCTCGACCTCCGCTAATCGTGCTTCCATCTCCTGCAGCCGCTCTTGACCCTCGCGCATCGACTCCATCAACTTATCCCTCTCGTCCAGCATAGACACCATTAGTTGCTCAAAGTTGCCGTCCTCGCCGGAGAATTGCGAGCTTCGCTGGCTCATACTGTCCTCCGCGATCGTCGGCATTACGTCACACATCATATTCCACATTTTGCACGTTATAGCAATCGTCGACGTTAGACCTAACCCGCGAATAGATTTTGATTGATATTATTATTATTTTTGTTTGTGCTGTTGTCGTTATTAATCGTTATTCACACACGAACGGTAAAGCTTGTGCACCGTTTTAAAGGTCCGGCGAACAGCACACGCGCAGCACATACCACGCAACATGTCACACACGTATGTACACACACCGCAAACGACGACGACGACGACGACGACGACGACGACGAGACACCTACGACCTACGACAGATCTGTCTGACTCTTGCCTAAACCCAATTTGTTATAAGTATAAAATCCTTGTCCTTTCTCTTTCTCTTTCTCTTTCTCTTCCTCTTTCTCTTTCGCTTGCGAATACTCTTCTTGTTTGTCTTGCGAACAACGCGTTCACAACTTCTCAATGTGTGCAAGTCACTGCAATCATCTTGCGCCCTCACGTTCGTGCATCTTCTTCGACTGCAACATGAACACGCGGATCCCGCCGGCGGAACGAATTTCTCCCAACCGATTTCGACGGATTTTAACACTGTTTAAGGTGTTGATGGTTAATAAAGGCAATCAAAATCTTAATCATTGCACAAGTCATCATTCGATGACCACTATGAGAAAATAATCTTCGAATGTCCGTCCTTACGAACGTGAGCTTATTATATTCTTTCGTTATAATCTACTCAGTGGGATGTTCCGGTTCTCGAAAGCACGTGTTCTCACGTGTAGCATATCTTACGCGACATGTAACGACATGTAATTTCTGGCTAAATGTCTCCGCTGCATCGTCCTACACCTCGCATCGTATCCGAATAACAGTGTGATCCCTTTGACACGCCATGTGTACACGCCAGGAAACAATTTTGACGGATATTATACTCTTCAATCTTCCCTCTCGCTGTCGGAATATTATCAAACTTGCAATCCAACAGACATAGTGTCCAATATATCGGATCAATTTCCTGCGACTACCATCGACTTTTTAAAACACCCTACACTCGCACCATGTACTCACACGCCGCATCGCAAATTCAGTCATCAACCTCCCTCTCGCCACCTTTCGTAACTCCCTCCCCCCTCCCTTCCCCCCTCCCTCTCTCTCTCTCTCTCTCCCCTCCTCCCGCCGCTCCCGCTCTCACTCCGCCTCTCCCTAATCCCTGCACCTGATGGTGTTCTCTTTCACGAAATAGATGATATTTTCTCACTTGTTGACGCTTGTTATTTTTCTTATTTTTATACATAAAAATATCTTTTAAAGAAACTGACCCGATTGCTTTTATGTAGACACTAATTGTGGTACAGTATGTTAGTAACGGTACTCGTGATGTCGCTGCTGTGTACACGGTAAAAAACTTTGTTTACTTATGTCAAAGCATATTATTTTCTCCCTTTTTTCCTTGTTAAATTGACATTCCACATATGTATCTGTTGGAATAACACTTGTAAATGTTAAAACTGCATATTTTACGCTCTAGCATAGATTAACATACAGCAAATGTGAATTTTACTGAAAAAATATATTCTTGTCGTATTGCAGTATGAACAATGCAATGTGTACTATAGTCAAAACAGAAGTGGTATAGCAGATAAAGTAGAGGCAACTCTCTCTCTCTCTCTCTCTCTCTCTCTCTCTCTCTCTCTCTCTCTCTCTCTCTCTCTCTCTCTCTCTCTCTCTCTCTCTCTCTCTCTCTCTCTCTCTGTCTCTCTCTCTCTCTCTCTCTCTCTCTCTCTCTCTCTCTCTCTCTCTCTCTCTCTCTCTCTCTCTATCTATCTATCTATCTATCTATCTATCTCTCTCCCTCTTCCCTCTCTTTCTCAAGAGCACGAGTTGACAATCTCATCTGTGACAAGCAAATTTTACAGCTACGCTATTCATTGAATTAAGCGGCACATTAAACCTTGGTTAAAACACTTGACAACAATAACCGAGAACAATATAACAAAAGAGTAAAGATATAACATTTTTCTCACTCTATAAATAACGTTTTTTGTGTTAGAACTGACGTTATAGATATGTAAATTTTACATAAAATTAATTCTAAGTATTAACATCTTCGTCTTGATTCCTGACACAAATGTTTGTATTACTTTTTCATCTTACTTATCTCGAATCCGTTAAATTAGCAGAAAAACTTAAGTGGATTGATTTCACACATGTGAAATATATTAAATTCGACACAACATTCCTTACTGTGCAGTAGTGTAGCATTAGTAGTGGCAGCAATATTAACAGTGGTGGTTGTGTGTAGTAACAGTGGTAGTCATGTAGTAGTGGTAATAGTAGTCACTGCACTGTCTATAATAGCACAGAGATAATATTGGTAATACAGTGATACTCACTTTGTTAATGATGATGATTTAGTCGTGAATGTAGTGATTATAATATTGTGGTAAAACTACAATTAACAATAATAATTGTATAATAGTATAACAGTGGTGTCGAGCGCGGTTCCGCGAAGCACTCATAGCGAGAGGGAGAGACGGTCGTGACGGTGACGGCGGTAACGATCTCCCACCCCGGGCATCTCGCCGTTCGTTCTCATTCCTCGCTCAGTGTTGCGACTTTTGATCGGGTTTTCAAGTGTCCACCCAAAGTCTGTCATGCCGCGAGGCATCTTACCTTGACTTGACTTGAAAGAAAGCCGGTTAACAGCGCGACGCCCGAAACAACCACCTTATTCTCGTCCTCACACAAATCTCACTTGACACTATTCAGTTCGTTTCTCTTACGCTTGTCAATCTACACTCCTATCTTCGGAAAATTGCTGGATGTAGTAAAACTGTATCTCTCTTGCGAAAGTACACGTAACAAAGATTTACATCTTAACAGAAATGGTGCTCCTTTGCCGAGGACCATAAGAATCTCGCGACGTTTTCTTATCATTAACAGCAACGAGGAAGAGAGAGAGAGAGAGAGAGAGAGAAGAGGGAGAATATGTCAGTGTGTCTGTTAATGTGTGTGTGTGTGTGTTTTGTGTGTGGGTGTGTGTGTGTGTGTGTGTGTGTGTGTGTGTGTGTGTGGGTGGGTGGGTGGGTGTGTGTGGTGTGGTATATGTGTGTGTAGGTATATTGCGTGTGTGTATATATGTGTGATGCGCGCGCGCTTGTGTGTGTGTATGTGTGCGTGAAAGAGAAAAGGGAGGAAGGTACCGGAGAAGACACGGTGCCAAATCGTACGTACGATTCGTTCGACGAGTATTGCGCTGAGCGGCGCCGAAATTCCGAGCTCAGCCAGCGGCTACAACACAACACGGCATCGTCCCGATAGCGTGTTATATCGCGCGCGACGCCGAAATACCGACACACCTACTATCAGGGTTCGTTCCTACCGCCCAGCCTCGTCTACGCTACACCATTTCCGACACCGGCAGCCATCTTGCGCCGTGACGTCACTCACTGTCGCCGAAGGCGCGCCCGACTCCGCCCGAACTCTGTCATGATATCTGTCATGATATGCTTAGACCACCGTTTCCCAGCGAGGAGACGTAGCGTTACACAAACATTCTATTGGCTACATGCTATCTAAGTTATCCTCTCAGAGATAATATTTAACCAATAAAATAGCTGTATGAGACGCCGTGTTCCTCGCTGGAAACTAGCCATAATTCGCAACCAGGAATAAAGCCAGCGGCACACGATGCTTGTTTTTGTGCTGGATTGCTTGCTGGATGAAAATACTGCGTTCTGATTGGTGCATTTCCATCCATCTTCCATCGGAAATGTACCAATCACAACGCAGTATTTTCATCCAGCAAGCAATCCAGCACGAAAACAAGCACCGTGTGCCGCTGGCTTAAGAATACTACACAATCGAAATCGATTGCCGTATCCTTCTCCCGTCTTGCAAATTAGTCTTGAAAAAGAATACTCAGGCTTGATAAACTCTTATGGGAAAATTCTGACCAGTGTTTTAACGCCATCTAAAAGATAGCCCCCAGGAAATGTGAACTACGCTGCCAAAAATTCAATATGGCGTCTGTTATAAGACTGGTGCGTGTATATGTTACTTATGTTCGCTGAACGCAGCCAACTATATTTCTACAATAAATATTTGAACGTTGTTTAACACTTCTTGTAATTAAAGGAATTTTTTTTTGTGTGGTCATCGTCACTCGCTCCAAACTACCATATATACGGTGAAGGTAAAGACATATTAACACGCTTGTTATTTAGACATAAGTATTTATTACGTTACTTTTTATTTGTAGCATCGAAAATGTTTTCAGCGTACGTTGCGTCATAGATTTTAAAAGAACGTCCCTCTAAGATATTTGAGCATAGATATGGGAAGGACATGTTGTGTTCCTGGATGCAAGTCTGGGAAAGAAGTGCCTTCACATCGATTTCCCAAAGATCCTGAAAGATGCCCAAAATGGATACAAAGTTTGAAATTGAAACATTTAGAAAATTATCCAAGCAATGAGATACAAAAAAATAAAGTGTGCCATAAACATTTTCGTCCAAAAGACTATAGTCCATGTTTGCATAAATGTGTCTTATTAAATGTTGCGGTTCCTGTATTGTTTATACATAATACAAGTATAGATGTTTGGTGTACACATATCAACAACATTTTATGTAAAAAGATAACAACAGATAGCGATAATTATTATATATATATATATATATATTATATGTATAAAGCAGCAATGCGAATATCAACAAAATATGCAAAAAAAAAAACAGTGAAAAAAAATAAAATAAAGAATGAGTATACATTGTTTTAAATTGTTTATTTCTTTTAAATTGCTTTTTAGTTATTCATTTTGTTCCAAATCCAATAAATTGATTAAAATTTAAATATAAAATTAAATATACTAAAACGATTAAGAGCTCATCTTTATCGATCGGTAAGTTACTTTGCTACGTAGTTCATATATTATTGGGGGTCATCTTTTAGATGGCGTTAAAACACTGGTCAGAAATTTTACATGGAAGTTTAACAACCCTGAGAATACGACGCTAACGACGCCGACAATTATTGGTACGCGAGTACGGAACACAGCCCCAGATCTTTGATGGATCCAGGAAAACGGATCAATCAGAAACGATAATAACTAAGCGCTTCGGTTGCGTTCCGATATTCACTGCCAGTACTGAAAATACATGACTTGTGTCACGTATACTATAGATTTTCAGTTCAGTACTGGCAGTGAATTGGAATCGGAGCCCAACCTTTGGTCTGTTCTTTGTAGCTGCACTGCTGAACTGATGCAATAAGCTGGAGTGAGAAAACCTATATTTGTCTCACTTAAACTTGTTGCACCAGTTCAACAGTACAGCTACAAAGAACACAGACCACTTAACAAGCAGCTCTTTCTGTTGAACGTATGACTATTGGTGGCTTAATTCTTTTATATGAATTTTTAAAGAGGCCTTTTCCATTAGCCCTGGTCTACAATAGGTGATTTAAACTTTAAGCTATAAGAAATTAACCAATCACAGTTGAATGTGAGGAAAATAATCGACTGCCGTTGGTTAATTTCTTATAGCTTAAAGCTTAAGGCCCACTCCGTTTAAACGGAGTTTAAAGCAAGTTGTGGAATTGGGCCTAAAGCCAGCGGCACACGGTGCTTGTTTTCGTGCTAGATTGTTTGCTGGATGAAAATACTGCGTTCTGATTGGTGCATTTCCATCCATCTTCCATCGGAAATGTACCAATCACAACGCAGTATTTTCATCCAGCAAGCAATCCAGCACGAAAACAAGCACCGTGTGCCGCTGGCTTTAGTAGATAGTTAAAGTTCCAAGATGGTCAGATCAATTGATTATTATTGTAGATTACTTCAACATCTTATCGATTGCTAAAAAGTTCATACATTTTTTAATCAGTTTTGTGAAAACTAATTATTTTCTTCAACATTGCCTATCCCTATCTCAAGACGAAAAGCGAAAACTTGGTCTATAATATAGGTCTAGGTGGTTTTGGAAAGGTGGCTTTTAATACCATCGAAATGAGATACCTTCAACCACCTTCAACTCAGAATAACGAAATAACGGTCAACTTCATCATCACTGCGTGATGTTCATGAGTGCGTGTAGGATAAATGGAATACCAATAAATAATAAAGATTAACGAGTGATAAGCGATGAGTGAATCAAGCATTGCGGTCGAACGATAGATCAAGCAAGCGCAAGAGATGACAGTAATCTCGGCCGACAATTTGTTGCACGAGATGAACTAAAGTAGTCCACACTGATGAGATAGATTAGGTTAACGCACATATTCTACACGTATTTTCGTAAATATTTCGTAAATATGTCATTCCATCGCGAAAATAAAAATGCGACAGACGAAAAGGTGAGTCAAGGAGGACACGAAACATTGTATCACAGTATATGAGATACTCGGAGATAATTGATGAAAGATAGAGATAGAGATAAACTCCTTGAGAACTTCCTAACAAGTTTTCAGTCTCACATTCCCTGATTTTTGAGTAAAATATTTAACGTTGAATTATCTCGCCAATTTTAAGTTAAATTCCTGAGGAAAATAACGAATACATAAATTTCCTATATATTTAGGTGCACTTAATATATATATGTACTTTTGATGTTCAGGACTCGTAACACTTTTATTTTGCAGGAAAACATGGAGGATATTACATCGGACTTTGTATGCTTCAAGATATCAGCTCTGAAAAAAGCAGCGCGTATATCGATGGCGGAAATAAAAAATGTTACAATTGGACCTGAGTCAATAGTGAATAAAAATGTTACTAATGATAAACTAGATAATATCCAAGATGAACAAAATTCTTGTAATATGAAAAACTTACAAAAGATAAACACCAGTCCCAAGTATCATACAATATCAACTTTGAATGGTATATCGTTCTCAGTCAAAAAGATTCTTCAAGAGAGTGAATTGCAAAGGAAGGAAGAAGTCAGAGTAAGTTGAATACTATGTATAACAGCTATATATATATATATATATATATATATAAACAAATAAGTTTGTGTCATCATATAATATAGATATTTTTTTGTTAATGAACATATTGTTAGCATATGCTGTTTTAATGCAGTAGTTTTAATACAGTAATATAGTACAGTATGTACTGTTTTAAAATAGTTAATTAAATTATTTAAAATATTCCTATTCTAGGTGAATAACATATGTTTTTATATATATATATATATATATATATATTATATATATATATATATGTATGTATATTGTATATATATATATATGATGTGTGTATATATATATATATATATATATATAGAGCTTTTGTATCCTGATACTTTTACTATATTGCAGAAGAAAATGGAGCACCGAATTCAGTGTATGAACGAAAATAGTCGCGTCATTAAAGAAAACATGGAAAAGTTGCGTATGTTAATGGCACATGAGCGCGAATGCAGAGACGAGGAGAACTTGGCACATATTTTGGCTGAACAAGAGCGTATAGCCAAGGAGGAAGAGATGAAGAGACGGCATGAACAGCAGTTGCACGCACAGCGAATTCAGGAGCAGAAGGAAGGGCTCGAGCGTGAAATGGAGGAATATAGAAAGCGAATGAAGGAGAAAGAAGAGTTGTTGAGAGCCATAGTGATCCAACGTAGCCAGTTTACAGCTAGATATTGTGATATTGTGTCGTTATCTAAGACTTGCAAGGATAAGCAGGCTTTAAATATATTCCTCGCGTCACACGGTGCAAGAATCAAAGAACTGTGGCAACAAATTGAGGCTATTGATGAAAAAATCAGAGTAATTATCAAAGAAAGCGTTAATAAATATTTTTTGACCAAGTATACTGACTATCGTGTCGTAATTTATTGAAAAATGATACAGATCTTTTCAAATGTGCAAAGTCTGTTTTTTGGATCCTATACTTGTAGAAATTTGTTTATAGGACCTTGCAAATTTCTTTTTCTGTAATTGTCATATAATTATATGAATATTTCTATTTTTTATAGTGTGGTGACATGATAGCTACAGATGTGAATTCTATCGAAGCTTTGGTTCATCACATCGAGGACATGTTAAGTTTATTTCGAACGGAAATGGGTTCGTGAATTTTTCACAAACCAAGTTAATTGCAGTCTCGTACAACTCGTATATATATGTGTGTGTGTGTGTGTGTGTGTTTTCCTTTTTGTTGTAGAAAAAGCAGATGCTCAATACGAGGCAGAGCTGGTCCGTAAAGCGCAAACTGATAATGAAATTCAAGATCCAGTCACAAAGGCTGAGAGTACAACAGTCGACAAAGTGGTGTCTCCTCAACAGCCTGCTGAAAGTGGTACTGTAGAAAAGGAGGATAAGGATCAAAGTACTAACGCGAAAGCAAATCAGGAAGTAGTTGTAGCCGCACCTGTCTCACCAAGCGCTACTAACGCACTGTTTGAACCGTCCACATCTGATCCTAAACCAGAACAAAACTCTAACGATCCTGCAGAATGCAAAGAAGGTACTGGTTGCTGTATTGTTGTTATAATACCCGATTAATTTTAAGTGAACAAATGAATCGATATATTTCTCTTATACATGTTTCTTATATATTTTCTTACATATATTTCGCATTTGCAGGCAGTCCTTATGAATATGTTGATTACGAATCACTAGATATTTACAACAGAAGCCGACAATTCTTGGCCGTTTATAGACAAAGTTACGAAGATTTTCTACATTCGTCAGATACTAAAAAATTTCGTTTCGAATGCCAGAAAGCGATTAATATCCCAGTGAACGCGATTGCCGGCACTAACGAGCAGCACTTGAGAGATAAATATGACAGGCTGCAGAGTCTTCTAACTGGGAGATCGTCCCCCAATGTGATGCAGCATCCGCAAGGAATAGCTTTCTGCAAGGATCATCTGGCGAAAAAGATAGTCGTGTGTTATTTTATATGAAAGAATTTCCCTTTTTCTTTTCTTTTCTTTCCAACCTTTATACTATGCGATTTTGGAAGTTTCTCTCCTGCATATATACTCGAATGTAAATTTCCAGAGTCAAGGTGAAACGCTAATATCCAGCAAACCGGAAATGGCCTTTCCCATCGCAGCGATAGTAGTCGCTCTCTGGAACGAGCATAAAGACTTCGGTGAGTTGGTACTGGCGCATTTGCACGAAGCGTGCCCTTTCGCCGTACCAATTTTCCCGTTGCAACAAGACGGTCAATCAAACGAGGACTACTACAAGTCCCTCGGCTGCAAATATTCCGAGGACGGTTCTTTCGAGAAGCAAGACAAGTACTTGAAACGAATGTCAGGTTTGATGAGATTGTACATATCGATTACCGTCACTAGTCAGAGGAAAGGCGTCACCAAGACTCATCCCCATGGTCTTCAATACGCCTGGCGTTGGTTAGCAGCCGTTTTGAATATCGGTAGGAAGAAAATAGATGATATATTATGTTTATTATTCTCCCTGAGTGCAATCTTTATGCACAATATCGCAACTTTTTTCGCCAAGATTAGTGCGCAGCGAATTTATTTCTGTGATTTGTAGAACCAAGAGCCGATACGTGCGATCTATGCGCTACTTTGATACTAGACATGCTTGAGGTAGCCGGAAACGTGCTGTGGACTGCTTATCCGAATCAGTTTCACAAGTTATTGATATTGTTGACGGAACAGTATTATCCCCGTATGCAGAACATAACGGGTGCCGGCGGTGGACCATTGATGCGTTTGGAGGAGTTCCTGAGCAACGCTCTGGCCAAGAGCGTTATACGTATAGCCGACGGGATGCTTCCGCCTAATTTCTGGTGATTTCGTTCTACGGAATATTATCTGGTGTACGACTCTTAAACATAAGTAGAATTTAAACGAGTCTGGTAAGTCGCTGTGTAGGAATGTAATAAGAGGATTCGAATTATTTTGTTAAGTACTTTAGGATTGCTTAAAAATATCGATAATACCAATTGAGCTCTAGCGACGTGACAGAATTGAATTGAAAAGAGAGGGGAAATCGAGAACTCGAAACCTGTTTCAGGGGAATATCATTGTTATTTAACGCTGTTTAACGCGGATAAGTCTTTCGGCGAATTGTACAATTTACAAGACGATTTTGATAATATATTTTACGTATTGCGAGATATAGATGATCGAAACGAGCGTGTCCGTCAGAGGAAGGAAGTGAAATCAGGGAATGAGAGAGACAAAGAAAGAGAAAAAAAATGATTTTTCTTTTTTTCTTTCTTAACTTGGATTGTGTGTATATACATATATATATAAGTCGACGATAAATTTATAAATCATTATGGGAGAAAATATCGATTCTCTTTACTACAATCCGTGTGATTCATTTCATTCTATATTTCCATAAGAAACGATCCTTTGTCCAAATTATTGAAGGCGTTGTGGTCATGTCGAATTGAGATGTTGATCGTTGGTGGGCGAGTTCTGCAAACGGACGAAAGTCCCACCGACCGTCGGTCGCAATCACGGCCGATGAAGACTTCGACCGGACGCATCGCTCGCTGGAAGGATCATTATAGAATCCACGACGATGTTGAGTTACTCAATTCCTTCCGAGGACCTTGTCCGCTTCTTTTTAGCTTATACAATCCGTGCGGCCAAAGTTTTGTCTTCGAATATCAGCAATCTTAAAAACGGTGTCCTATTTCTAGTTTACTAATTCATATATTGAGAGTGACGAATGCGATGCGTGAATTTAAGCAAACTGGTATCGATCTTGAGAGAGAGAGAGAGAGAGAGAGAGAGAGAGAGAGGAGCGAGGAAAAGAGTAAAGAACGAGAAGTAAATTTGCGAAACGCTAACTCAGAAAAAAAAAACTGGCTCTTCATCCCTCCGCCAATGCGCAATAAAGATGCTTATCTGCGAGCGTACGTCGCCGAAGAGCCTCAAGATCTACTGAGATTTGTAGTAAAAACACAAATCATGATTTTAACGCATTAGCTCTCTCGTTACTTACGCAACACTCGAAAAGCGGAAATTAATAAATGATGGAATGAAATCAATATCGCATATGTAAAGTCAGATTACGATATTCCGAAAATTTCTTTTTCCGAGTCGAACATCGAAGAAGATTTGTTGATCTCACTGTATGGCTTAATTATAAAATAAATTAAACAATGAAGGGAGCATACACCGTGTGAAGATGAAAAATGGAAAAAAGAAAAACGAGAATTTCCCCGAAATAACGATCTCGCAATTCATCGTCACAGAATTTGTGAAGTTTCCTGAAAAATGGAATTCTATCGCGAATCCAATTGTCAGACAATCCTGACTGACTGATAATTCCCGTAATAAATGCACTCACTTGGAAAACAACCTCACGATGTTGCTTTCTCTAAAGGTGAGAGAGAGAGAGAGAGAGAGAGAGAGAGAGGGGGAGGGAGGCGGATATTTCGCACACGAGCGACAAATTACGAAGATGAATCGTCAGCCGGCCGGTGCGCCGCGCTATCGTTCGTTTGTCGGTTATTTGACTCGTGTTATCGCGCGTTTCTCACAAATTCACGTGTTACGTAAATCCGTGCGCGACTCCGCGCGTATCCGAGCCAATTAACGGCCGACGTTTTATCGCAGTGTCACGGTTCAAGGCGGAAGGCGGAGGCGGAGGTAGCGATGACGGCGGTCATCAACGTCGCGACGGCGACGCGTCTCACCGATATTCTAAAAATCACGAGAATGGATCGATTACTTCTCATTTTTTTCTCATCGAGAGAGAGAGAGAGAGAGAGAGAGAGAGAGAGAGAAAGAGAGAGAGAGAGGGAGGGATTCGTCGTTCCCAGTAAGATTATTTTATAGCAACGAATCGCGCGCAATTGCTAAAACTGTGAATATACGCACAATGACAAGTCGAAAGGAAATTGTTAAAATCAGAAACGTAAGGAAAGACCGACTTGACAGTCGGTCGAATTCAACGTCGTGTCGCAATCGCATGAGCGCAATCGATTATGCGCCTCTTAAACACGGACTTAAGAGTCTGGATCGTTCAACTATTATATATATAGCCTCTCTTACCGGGCTTTATTGTCAAAGGTACGCACAGGAGGTATAGAGGTGCGTGAGGTAGCCTATATAGTCAAAGTCATGTTACTTAGGTGAACGTCGGAAAGGCGTTCTGACTCGCGCGATGTATTTCCGTCGATGAACTCGAGTCCACGAGTCATGTTCTCCAGACAGTGAGCGAAAGAGAGAAAGAGAGGGACTTTGAAGAACGGACTTTGTCCTGATCCTTCGTTAGTTATGGCAAGATGCGATAACGATGCGACTTCATAATCTGATTTCAATCGTTCGGGACAACACTCCGATGGAAAATCTCTCGATGTAGAAACGCTACATGGTGGTCGGTGGTCGGTAGGTACAGAGTTCGTTCGATATTCGAGGAGTTTCTAGGTAAGAACACACGATACGACTGAAGGCTGAAGAAATGGTCAACACGTACCGTTTATGCGACCAGGGCCCGGCGCGATTCACCTCGAGAATGTTGCACATCCGCTTAGACTCGACGGGAAAAACGAAGCGTCATGGGACACCGTATATCGGAACAAGTGTTTCTCGTGCCAAATCTGACACACTAGTGCGGCTAGTACGGAGTGTTAGCGGACGGACTAAATTACCGCCTTCCTGAATTTCTACGGAGTTCCTTCGCCCGCGGCGCGGCGCGCGTACGTGCTGAGCAAATCTCTCTCGTTATCATGGTGTCTTTACGTGACGAGATATTTAATACAACAGCACGATTATTATCGCGACGTATCGCGAGTTTGGCTCTCGACAAACTCGAGAACAGAGAAGATGCATCTTTAGTTGCGAAATGATTTCCGGTAGATTCAAAAGGCAACCGTGGATGTAAAAGTCATATGTCGACAAAGCTCAGTTTATATGTACATGTGTGTATATGTGTGTGTGTGTGTGTGTGTGTGTGTGTGTGCGTGTGTGTGTGTGTGTGTTACATATATACACACACATACAGAGTACAGACGATATTCCGCGCATCGATTCGCGCCGAGCGATGCATTTTTCGGCGGAGGAAAAGATCCAGGAAAGGAGGAATTGTATTTCAAACACTCGTGCGTTATCTCTCGCCCGATCAAGGCGAGTTTTTGAGCAAACAGCGATAGTAAAAACCCACGCGTTTGTCTTGCGAAACGTCGACGTGTCGGCGTCGGCACGTTAGTAGACTCGCTGCACTTGGCGTTGAACGAACTGCCACGGATCTCTCTCGTCAAATAGAGCGAGACGTCAATTTCTGTCTAGTTAGCCTAAACGCACCGATGTCGCACCGTGATTTGAGTGTGTCTCATTAGTGCTGAATTAATTATCCTTGAATCATCGACGGTGAGACGACGGTGGCGCGCCGCCGCCGCCGCCGCCGCCGCCGCCGCCGCCGCCGCCGCCGCATTTAGCGCGCTAGGCATTACCATCTAATTCTCAGCCGGTGATAATGTCGTTGAGATAACGTGACGCGATGATTCGAGTCGGACGAACGTAGCGAACATAGTGACGGGAAAAGGTACGCGTAAAGGAGCCTTAGGTACCTTAAGTTACGAGATGCTTATCTTACCTGTCTCGTATCGAATTCGTCCGCGGTTCCGCGATTCCCCCGCGATTGCGATTAACACGAGATTAACACGAGAGAGAAGACGATATTAGACGAGCCGCGTGCCGCATTGCGCGTGATTTATTTGAATTGACAAAAAGTTATATTCGTGATTACATTCGCGCTCTGGGAATCGTGACCGCGGATTTCTCTCAGTAATCTCTGACTTTTCCAACTTGAGATCTCGCTCTCAATCGAGTACCGATTGTCCGATTGTGCCGGCTGGCTGATTGAGCAGCGTCTGAACGTTGCCGTTCGATTTCGAGTTGTCGATTTACTTGCACGTTGCCGCGACGTAAGTCAATTTTATTTCAAGATAACTCCCCGAACGAATATGCCGAATATGCTTGAGACTGACTCGAGGATTCACCGTTAATTGCGGTATCTCGTCACTCGTGACCGTGCCGGTGTGTGTGTGTGTGTGTGTGTGTGTGTGTGTGTGTGTGTGTGATACCGAGGAACGAGATCGCGCGTGGTCGACCGACCGTCCGACAGTCCGCGCAGTTCAGCGCGATTTATTCTATATAGATAATCGACGCCAGCCGATGCGCCGATACCGATTGCGGTTACCGTTGCGGCAGTGATCGCGAAATCGCGATGCGAATATCCGAACCGGCAAGTAGGTCACTGTCATACGCCAATACGCCGTGCGGCGTCGACGACCGGCGCGCGTTTTGTCCTTCGTTTCGTTCGCTCGTTTGAATCGCGAACTGGCCGATGTCCGAACTCGACGATGACAGAAGCTGACGACACGGCGAACTGAAAGAAACTGGTCCCACGAAACGCCGTCCCGCGACTCCTGTCGGCTCGGCTCAACTCGGCTCTGTTGCTTCGGAGTTTCGCTCCTTCCTCCTCCTGCCGATTCGCGATCATTGCCGACGTCATCGTCGTCGACGCGCAATCGTCGTCGCCGCCGCGCCACCGCCGTACCGCCGTCATGATGTCATCCGCGAACGTCGGATGCTGTCATCGCGAAGACCGAAATCCCAGAGAGACGAGTCCTCCCCCGTGCGCGACGCGCAAGCCACCTCCAGGGGAGTCGAAGAGTCGCGGTCCGCGGTCCGCGGAGGTCACGGTGCTCGGAGTGACGAACGAGTCACTCGATTACTCCGAGACAGTTTCTTCTTTCCTTTTTCTTGTTTCTTCTTGCTTCTTTTTTTCAAGTCAACACGCATTCTTCCGGTATGTTCTACCAAGAGGACCAAGAGGAGACCGCGATTGAACACCGCGTGGAGCGCCAAGTGCCGCGCGCAGTGCCAATGCACCGCCGCCGCCGCCGCCGCCGCCGCCGCCGAACGGGAACGTGAATGGGCGTGAATGAATGACTCGCCGACTCGCGAGAATGCGAGATCCTGCACGGAACGGAACATCCGCAAGCGGGCTCTCGACGATATCAGCAGTGCCGGACTGAAATTAGTGTCGAGTACACTGTAACTTTAGATCTCGTGTCGTTCGAAAGAATTACCTTTGTATACCGCCGGATGAATCATGGAGCGCGATATAAATATCTTGGACACACGATATATGTGTGTGTGTGTGTGTGTGTGTGTGTGCGTGTGCGTGTGTGTGTGCGTGTGCGTGTGCGTGAGCGTGTGCGTGTGCGTGTGCGTGAGCGTGTGCGTGTGCGTGCGCGTGTGCGTGTGCGTGTGCGTGTGTGTATACGCACTTGTTGTTCAAAATAGACGGATTCCAAGCATTCGTTCGCTTCGTGCAATTTGATTCGATTATTTTTTTATGATCTACGCACGGGACGATCGAAGGTGGTGGTATCTCTCGACTGAGTCGTGGCTGAGGGCCCGAACGGATTTGAATGCGTCACTGCGTTGCCGGCTTGTTACCGGCCTGCCGTATCAGACCGGGCCGACGTCACGGCGAGCGAAGGTATTCCGGACGTCGCCGTCGCGGGCCCGTCGTCGGTTAACCTGGCCCAGAAACCAAGCCGGAACTGCCGGCGGAATCAATGACCTTGGCGAACGAGCTCCGCTCATGGTCGGCCTCGGGAAGAAAGTTTCAACGTCGGGAGAGTCTTCAGCGACGACGAAGTGACGGCGACGGCGACGGTGACGGGGCGGTCTCGGCTCTTGGTTCTAATCTTTAATTTTTTCACGATTCTTTTGCAAAAATCGTGAACATCTTCTTGAAAATTCAGATCATGACGAGAGAGTTGACGGAATTCGACGAGAGGAGACTTCACATCGCTTGTCGAATTCAATCTCTCACTTTGATGCAACCTGAAATTAATTGCATTTTAATACAATAATGAGATAAGATTTTGCGCGATTTGCATCTAAATAAATTCTACCAAAATAAATTGCGTCTTGAGACGGGCAAGGCAAACGGATGTGAAATTGATCTTTTCCAATTTGCAATCTGCAAGATGTTTCGGTCCCTATAGTAGTGTTCCTACTAAACTCTGCTAGACTCTGTTCCTTCCAAACGGCCCTGGCTCTAGTAAGTTAAGACCTCGATGAGCGATACTCGGCAACGTTAGCAACATTAATCGCGAGCACAAAGCCACTTGAGATGCTGCACTTTTGTCGATGCGGATGTTTCGCTCAGGAATAATAATTGGGTCGAGGAATGCCGCGTGAAGATGTATCTCTGATCAATCTCTGACCAAAAAATAAATAAAAAAAAATGTTAATTCTCAGACATTGCGTTAAAAGAAAATCGGCGTGTTGCGTCAAGACTCAATTCGCGGTGCGTTAAAATAATGATGATGATCAACTCTCGGGAGAATAAAATTAAAATAATGGGAGATTTGATTCGTGTGACGTGTGAGACAGACACTCAGCTCACGTTGAAACTGCATGCATTCAGCGCGCGGTTGACGCACTATGTGTCCGGCATGCGTGACGTACTCACCTACCGCAAGAATGCGAATTTCCATCGGTGCTATCCGTGAGATCGCATTTAGAGATTCAGGCCAGTTCCGCCTCCTCATCGAAATCCGCCGTCGGTTTTTTGCTTCGCAATTTCTTTCTTCTAAGCGGCGTCGGGGCGTCGGTATTTGCACGAACGGTGTTTGCGAATTCCAAACCTTACTTTCCTAACATATACCGACGTTGCACCTCGCGAAATATCAATCTTCGATGAATATCTGTCGACTTTTGAGATATCGTCGAATGATATCTCTTGCTTCGTCGTATAAACTTTTCTAATTGTTACTAAAAATATCATGCTTATTTGCAACATATAAAATTATTTGAAATGATGTTCTCAAGATCCGGTAATTGATAAAATTTACTAGATATTCTTCTAATCAATTCTAATATGTCATACCGAGAAAAGAGCTTGTTAAAATTGACGAAAGATATAAGGAATAATGGAAAGAAAGAGCAATTTTAACCTGATATTTTAGTTATTCTCTCTCTCTCTCTCTCTCTCTCTCTCTCTCTCTCTCTCTCTCTCTCTCTCTCTCTCTCTCTCTCCCCCCCCTCTTTCTCTCTCTCTCTCTCTCTCTCTCCCTCTCTCTCTCTCCCTCTCTCTCTCTCCCTCTCTCTCTCTCCCTCTCTCTCTCTCCCTCTCTCTCTCTCCCTCTCTCTCTCTCCTCTCCTCTCTCTCTCTCTCTCTCTCTCTCCTCTCTCTCTCTCTCTCTCTCCTCTCTCTCTCTCTCTCTCTTTCTCTCTCTCTCTCGCTCAGATTACTTTCAGTAAATATCTCATGAGAAATTTAAGTGTCAACTCTTCCTTATCGGAATCTCGAATCTAGCTCCTTTATAAGCTACAATTTTATAACATTTTATTTTATTCGCTGTAACCAACGGGAATTAACGACGAAAATTAATGACTTCTGACAAAGAGTCACTCCTTTGAATCTCACTCTCTCAGCAGATTGAGGTATTCAAATTTACTTCTCCTGTTCTAACACAGATGACGCGAGTATCGCGTGCGAAGATGGTTCACATGTCACGTGATCATCTGTGTCCTGTGATGTAAACAACTTCGTTCACTTCACGACTCACGTGCGTGCGATTCAGCGTGCTGTGCGGGCTTGTAAGTCGTGTGATTTCTCATCGGTTCATTAGCGTGTTTTAATATTGCAATATGATTAAGACTCGTGACGTAACTAAGACTTGTTGCATCTGCAAAAAGAAGAAAGCTTCTTACAAATGTCCTATATGCAAAGAGCCCTAGTAAGTAGGAGCCCTCTTAACTTATTAATTAAGTTTTCACCTGTAAGGTTATGTGTTTTATTAGGTTAGGTTATGTATTTTATTATAGGCAATGTTCATAGATCATGAGTATTTTATTTGCCTCAGCTGCTCTGTGACATGCTGCAAAGGGCACAAGGTACAAGGCTGCGAGCTTCCGAAAGTACCTGAGAAATCTGCAAGTCCTGAGAAACTTGCGAATTCTAAGAAATTTCAGATAGCTGACAATGATGTCACTCGTAGGTATATGTTCCCAACAGAAGATACTGTGCCCATAGAAAAGCTGGAGCAATTGCGTTACAGCAATGAGCTGAAAGAATGCCTGGCAAATCCTCACGTACGTAATATGATGAAGGAGGTCGTGAACAGTCATAACCCTACCTTAGCAATTGCAAGAGCTATGACGGAACCGATATTTGTGGAAATGGCAGATGCTTGTCTGAGGATCGTAGAACTGCCAGAAGAGGACAGACCGTGCTGAGTGGCCTCTGTATGCACTATTATATTATACAAAACTGTTACGTATATTGTAAAATAATATATGGGGATTTTTTGTACAATTTCCCATATGTGTGAAAGAAAAGATAGGTATGTAGAAGCTAATGTGTGCGTGCGCAAAGGACGATTAGATCAGAAAACAATATCTTTTCCTTCATATTTATTTTTTTGCACAAGTGGATATAAACAAATCTTAGATGCGAATGGGGTGATTGTATACTTCCTTACAAGAAAGGATGATTAAGCAAGATAGATTATGCATTAAGGTGAATGTGTTATCTTAAGTTATCGGTGCAACCTTTATGCGATGTACGAAAGGAACAAAACTTTAGTAGCTTTATTTCGTGAAGAGACAATTGAGTGGCTCTTAAGTTTCGGTGTTTTTGTCTTTTTCTTTTCTTCTCTTTTCTTTTCTTTTCTCCTCTTTCAATTTCTAATTAGAGTTCCGAGTGCTGAGAGTAATAGGACGAAACATAACTCTCAACATCTTTCGGTATCTGCGCACAGTCCAGTTCGGCTTCGAGAGCGTGATATCTCTTTCTGACGTGATGTGCTGCCATTTTCGGTTGCCTGTCCCTCGTGAAGATTCCTTTCTTATTTCCGCCTACTCTGGTATACGCTGAAGAAACGTGCAAATATCGAGAAATACTGTTGAGCGATCGAAATCGAGCGAATTTCCTCGAAATATTTTCGTTTCTTCTTGAAAAACTAAAAGGCTCTATAAATTAACGCATCGTTTTATTTCATCGTTGTACTTACTTTGCGCGGTGCGGAAGTCGGCGAAATTCCAGATGAATTCGCCGATGAAAAAGCCCTCTTGTCGCAAACGATCGAAGGCCTCGAAATGTCTGGAGAATAGTTCTTTCTGATATTCTTCGCTCCATACGTAATCCGGTAGCTGCGGTACCGGACGAACGTTCGATGAATGAAACAATTACAACGATGTATAACAGAGAGTATATTAAGAAAGATAATGAAGATAATAGTGTTATTATATTAATACAGAGTATATACATTTAGCAAAGTGTGTCTACACATCATATTCTTATGATTAATACCTCGTGTAAACCTGGCATGGTGTCGGCTCCGTATTCGGACATCAGCACCGGCTTATTGTACTTTCTGTGCCAGGCCTCGGCTTCCCCTTGTACTCGGTCGGTGATCATGTCTAGCCTGCCGGCGTTGCTGTACCAAGCATTGTAACGATTGAAACTGATCACATCGAGAAATTGACCAGCCTTGTCCTCCTGGATCAGCGATTAGAAAATCGGCGATTGTTTAAAAAATGGAAAAGATGTTTCTCGTCGTGTCACGGTCTCTCTCTCTCTCTCCCTCTCTCCCTCCCCCCCTCTCTCTCTCTCTCTCCTCCCTCTCCCTCTCCCCCCTCTTTCTAGAAGACATTCTAATTTTGTATGAAACTTATGAAATTTCTGCTGATTTCATCTTTATATTCGGTTAATCGCGACATTCGCGACCGAAGTGTTACGGGTTACCTGCACTCCGCGAGCCAGAGCGATAGTGAGCGGCCTCGTAGGGTCGACCGCTTTTGCGTGATGAGCGACTTGTTTGAAGTACTCTTTTGCTTGGGGCAATTGCGTCCTCGGTTCGTTGGCCAAGGACCACATGATCACCGACGGCCGATTCTTGTCTCTGCGGATGAGCTCGGACAGCGAGTCCTTGTGACGCGAGAGCAAGGACGGCGAAAAATTCTCCGTGTCGACTGACGGACACTCGTCGATCACGAGAAAGCCGAGTCTGCGAGGGGCAAACGAGTGTGTGTGTCTCTCTCCCTCTCTCTCTCTCTCTCTCTCTCTCTCTCTCTCTCTCTCTCTCTCTCTCTCTCTCTCTCTCTCTCTCTCTCTCTCTCTCTCTCTCTCTCTCTCTCTCTCTCTCTCTCCCCCCTCTCTCTCCCTCTCTCGTTTAACAGAAGTTTTGAGAAAAGATGCCTCACACACACACACACACACACACACACACGTGATACACGACGATGAGGAGGAAAATTGTCATCTACCTGTCGGCCATATCGAGGACCTCGTCGCTGTAGGGATAGTGGCTGGTTCTGTAGGCGTTAGCGCCCACCCATTGAAGCAGTTCGTGATCCCTGACTGCGGTCACAAGGTCGAAGCCGCGTCCTCTGATGACCGAGTCCTCGTGTCGACCGAAACCACGCATGTACACCGGTCGATCGTTCAGCAGGAGACTCGTGTTGGTCCATGCGAGAGTCCTGATGCCGATCGGTAGTCGGTACATGTCTGGCTTCGTGGCGTTCGCTACCGACAGCTTTACCTTCAAGGAAAAGATCGGACTTTTACTTTTGTGCGAATCGAGCCGGAACCGGAATGTCTCTTTGCCGGTTTCGGTCATTTACTACAGCAAGTAAAAAGTAAGATATATAGTAAGATGTATAGTCGAGGAAAAATGCGCTTCTCAACTCCGCTGTGCGGATAAAATTTTTCATCGCCGGATGAACGTTTCACAATACAGAAAAGATTAGAGTTGTTTTATTATAGTCATTTCATAGTCATAGCGAGTATGAGCGAGTATAAGCGAAATTATTCCGAAATTATTGCGCAAATCTGCAAAATCTGCAAATCTCTTAATTCCCAAGTTTCATCGATTTCATACTTCCAAAGTATAAAGGTATCCCGGTTTGGGGTCCATGCCCCTAGGCCACCAGAGCCTGGCGAGTGGGACTTTCAAGGTGCCGGACAGGCCGTAGACAGGCTCCTTGATAGCCAGAGTGTCCTCGGCGTCGTGCAACGTGACACTGCAGATTGGTGTTTCCCCTTCGCGCAATCCGGCCGGTTGTACGATGTACTTGACGATTCCCATGTCACCGAGCAGGCCCGTCTTCACCGTGATGTCCTCGACGTAGACGCGCGGCGTAGCGTATAGTAAAACGGACCTTTGCCAGAATATCAAGAGACAGTTTCATCGTTTCTTTATTGATAATCATTTCTCCTCCTTTTGTACACGAATACGAATAAGTTTTTCTTTCTTCATTCTTTTTCCTCCTTGTCTTTCCTCTTTTCGTGAATTTTGCTCGTTTCTCTCGTTTCGCGAAGGAAATCGAGCGAAGGTTAAATTGGTGCTTAAATTGCCAAATCCGCGCCGAGAATTTAATTTTTAATTTGTCTCGAAATATCGCACGCGATCGCGATCGCGGGCCGCCGAATCTCGCCGAATGAATTGTCCATCTCTCCGTTTTTCAGCGTCGTAGAACCGAAACCGCGCCTTTTCTGTTTTTTTTTTTTCCTCTTTTTATTCACGAGTAGCGGAAATCGCGCGCGTCGTAACGCATCGAATACTCTCTTGAATTCTTCCACAAAGCCCACGGATAGATAGGGATCTATTATATATATATATATATATATATAGTATATAGGGGCGAGTGAAATTCGCATCGCTTCAGAGAGCCCGAAAAGTCCCTGTCGTATGTGAATCGGTGGTACAACGCTATTACACGTTTATGTGTGTGTGTCACATGTTTTCCTTTTATTCAAATTAATCTTATCAGAACTGTACTCTTCTTCCAGAACTGATTGTGACCGTGTGCGATTGGAAATTCAATTTTACGCAACGATTTTGTCAATTCCTTGCCATTTATTTTCTGTATATCACTGTTCTGTGAATTGACTCAACAAGCTGCAACAGCACTTGCGAGAAGAATTCTCAGTCTCAAAAGGGTTCGAGCGAAGGATTGAAGATGAATGTTTTTAATTTAATTAATTAATAAACCGTTTGCTTTTCTTTCTCTTTTCCTCTCACCTGTGTATACCGGCATAGTTGAAGAAATCAAAGGTATAGGTCTGCAGGTGTACAGTGCCGTTCTCGGTGGGCGCCTCCAGAATTTTGCCCTGAGGGACACTAGTCTGCAACAAGGTGTTGTCCACGGCGACGGTGATGCGATTTTTGTCGCCGAAAGTGACATACGACGAGATCTCCGCCTCGAAGGGCAGGTGGCCCATCTCGTGGTTAGTCACCAGGTCGTTGTTCACCCACTAACAAAAAGCGCGAAAGTGCTCGTGATCGTGCATCGTGCGAGTAGTTTCCGCGTACTCTGGCCGCGTCGATCCGCAACGTTAACGGTTAAATGTATTACACTTCTTGTTTCTCTTTTGCCCTCCCTTTTGCGCTACCGTAGATTTTCAGTAAGCGCGTAAGCGGCTAGACGAAATTCGCGAAAGGGCGAATGGGTTACATTTAATATTTAAGATAATAAAAAGGCCCGGTCTGGTCTCTACGATCTGACACGATCACGATTACGCGTGTGCGACACGTGCGTGTGTGATCTCAAACGAAACTGTACAACTGTACTGTAATTTTCACTTCAGATTGCTGTCCCGAATAAATCCCGACTGAATCCCGACCGAGCCCAGGTTGCTCACCACTTGGGCTAGATAGTTGACCGAGCCGAATCTCACGAACACCCGTTGATCTTTCCAAGAGGAGGGCACGAAAAACGTCCTCTGGTACCAGACAGCGCCGACGTGGTCCCTGAGATCCCGCGACGTCGTGATATCATTGTAGGACGACGGTACGGGCATCTTGATCATCTCGCCGACCTACAAAGATACAGAGTGTTTTACTTGCGTAAACGTAGTCCCTGCTAATGATGGGGGTAATTGGGCAACGTGTAATTATACAAGATTAAATTAATTTTTACGCGACCTTTTCGACGACGCGAGTGAGATCGGCGGGAAAAGTGGGTGCGCGAGTCGGAGTTACTTTGGCGCGGCGAAATTCGCCAGACACAGACAACGTTGACGAGAGAGACGAGTGATACGGAAATGTACATAGCGTTAAAATTCAAGAGAGAGAATCGCGGAGCTGTTTAATCTTCTCTCTCTCTCTCTCTCTCTGGGACATTCTCTGGATATATAAATGCAGCGTGTCGTTGAATCCTCGAAGAAATGATCTCTAGGTGAGGGGGTTCACAGAGTTCACACTACTATATATTATTATATATATATATATATATATATATTATATATTATATATTATTATTATATATTTTTAATATATTACTATATATTATATATAGTAATAATATATAGTAATATATTATATATTACTATATATTATATATATATATATATTGTTGCAAGGAGAGTATATATAAGGTGCGGAGAATTTCAAACGGCCGCGCCGGTCCTGAATCACCGGAGCCACGAGCAATAATTCAAATTCGAAGTCTTCGCGCGAAATTAACGACTGGATATTCTCGTATTCTCGGATGCCTCGGGGATGTATTATGTAACTGCATGTGTGTGTGTAGTGTCTCTCCCGTTCTCTTCTGTTCTGGGGGGATCTTCTGAGAATTAACTTTCCATTTCAGTTCGACTACTTTGCCGCGCTTTTCCACTCTTCTCCCTCCAATCTTCTCTCTTCGCTTTCACAAGTAATGAAACAAATTATTTTGTCAAGTATTCAAAATTATTAAATTCATATCATGTTACACCATCGTTGTACCTTCGACAGATCATAGGCGAACCATCCTTCTCTGTAACCTTTCAGCGCGTCCCCCACAGGTGACACGATAAAGTCCCATAGCCCATCGAGAGATCTCACCTATCGAATAACAAAAAAAAGATCAAAATCAATATTATCGAATACTTTACGCTGTGTGTGTATTCTTACTCTCGTATCAGTATTACATAAGAGTGTCTGATCGACTCGAGTCGAGTTTGTCGAGTGCGAGCGTAACGTATAATCGTGCATCTGTGCACGACGGAAACGATAAGCGTGGATTGATTGTCACGTGTGTGGAACGAGGTTCAAGTGGCACGTTAAAAGAGCGGCAGCATCACGTTGTCGCGTCACGTAAGATTTACCTCTCGGGATTCACTTTCTCTAGGATACAGCAGACCGGGAAGAGGAGTCGGAAATGTCTCCTCGTAAGGCAACGGCGAGATCTCGATCGACGGTGACTCGGGGAACTCCGGCTCCGGTCCGGATTCACCGGCCATCGCGGCGCCGATTAAGAAGAAGATCAAGCACCGCATCCTTCTGCGACCCTCCTAATTAACAAATAATTACGTATTCCCGCAGTGAGAGAGTGCAGTCGTTTATCGTTAGGATCTCGCGTCGCAAGCCGCAGTGCTTCAGCGCCGCAGCGCCGCGCAGTGCTGGAAAGTGCGGCAAATTATTTATTAATGATTCTCCAAGGCTTTGCACGTTGCACGCGTGTTGTTGCACGTTACGCGTATATCGCGTATGTTTTTCATATTGATGATATGCAACAATGAAATGCAACGAAATGCTTGCGAAATGACCAATGACCAACTTGCGCAAAATATTACATTTATATTTATGACGCTCGAAAGTTTAAAAACTTATCTAAAGAGAACTTATCTTTCTTACACAGACTCTGTTAAGTGCAAAGTTATGTCTTCACCATTTAACGTTACGTTTCGTTTACGACGTGCGATGAATCTTAATTAATAAAAACGGTTGTTCAGTTGTTGCCCGTTGCCTTTGTCTTTCGTCTTTGCCGTGTTGCCGTCTTTCTTTATCGCGATTAGTGTGTGTGTGTGTGTGTGTGTGTGTGTGTGTGTGTGTGTGACAATCGTCTCTCTTCTTGCGACTGTATCGAGTTCTCTCCGCCGCACGGCACGTTCTCTCCGCGCCGTGAAAATGCATCCAACGAACGTCGTCGCACTGCATTCACGTTGCACAGCTTAGCGCACCACACAGCAGCACACAGTCACCAGTGTGACGAGCGACAATGTCAGTGTGTGTTGGGTTTTGCGAATCGACTATCCCCAGCAACACGCTATGGTCGACTGATCCATCGAGCGTCGAGCTTCCTCCGATAAAGTATTAACGAATTCTCATATCTGATAACGAGTTCAATTCGGGGTGATAATTTTTTCGCACATCTCGCACTGTTTATGATATATGAGTCTGAGTTTACAATTCAATGAGCTTGTTTTCCATACCAAGTCTGCATTCTGCATGCTGGCTGCCTTATCACGCACGATGGAAATAATCTCACTAGATCTTTATGATTAGGTTATTATGATTCAAACTCCTCTTCGAAATTTTCACACGGGTCCAAACGGGAAGTTACGCGACTGTCACTGCTATTATCCGAAACATCAAAACAGTCGAACAAAGAAACACTCGAGAGACACACTCAAAGCTCATCTCATATTTTTAGTCAGACTTTAGAAACTCATAACCAACGAAACAATTATCCTCGATTATTGTTTATATTTCTTCGCATCTCTCTCTCTCTCTCTCTCTCTCTCTCTCTCTCTCTCTCTCTCTCTCTCTCTCTCTCTCTCTCTCTCTCTCTCTCTCTCTCTCTCTCTCTCTCTTCAACGATCCACAAAGACGGAGGTCCAAGGTGGAGGGATTTACGACGCGCATTCGCTTCGCGCAATCGCGCTACGCGGGCTCTCTCTGAACCAAAGGTTCGTCTCTCTGTGGACAAAGCTCGTCCACGCGGCACTCCTCTCCTAGCACGCTCATTTCTTTTTCTCTTTTAATTTTATCCGACGACACCCACGAGAGAGAAGGCGAGACCGGTCCTTTGGCATCTGACCTTCCGAGAAAGAGCATCGAGGCAACGACTCTTCGGCAGTGATTCGCGTGTGATACAAATAGCAAACAGCCGAGTTACGAACAAACGTAACGAGAGATGTAATGTCAATGAAATTGAAATTTCCTCTGATCAAGACCGTTTTACCGTTTCATTGAAATTTCTTCCGCCGAGAGAGTTCAATTATCCAAATCGCCTGGTCACTTTTACACAGTGAGAAAAAAAATTTCACTCATCGGGTGATCAATTTTGCATGACCTTTCTAACTGTCGAGCAACGAGCTGGTTGCACCCCGCACACACACACACACACACACACACACACACACACACACACACACACACACACATGTTCTGCAGGGTCTCGTTCGCAGCAATATCGGCTTCCTGGCACGGTGCCCTCCTACGAGAGCAGACTTCCCTTCCCAAAGCATCAAATCGTTTCCTCGTGTCGCGCTTGTGCCGCCACGGCATACTGTGTGTCCCTAATTCCTCGAATAGAAACCATTGTCCATGCCTCAACATCCGGCAATAATATCTAGCACTGAAACGCAATTTCGTCACTTCGTGAGCTTCGAAAGTTCATCGCGTGGGAAAATTCTCCCGCGATGCAATTCGTACGATATCATATTGCTCGCGATTAATTGGATTAATTAAAAGTCAGTCTGTACGGAGAGAGGCGTTCTAGTGAGATGAGAAATCAGTTTTGAGGAACTGATCGCCCGTTCCCTTACATTGTCCTTACATCGATGAAGTTTCTAAACGCGGCCTCGATCGAACAGTTCCCTCGCGATTTCTCTCGCTTTGGACAAGCGTAGATAATTCTCGCGTAGACCCAATCTCGCGAGGCGAGACAATTGATCTCGGCGAAAGCCGAGAGCTTTAAAATAGACGATCCTACAAAGTGCTATCGCATGCGTATTTTTGCAACACATCCGTATGACTGGTTTAACACCGATATTCGTATTGAGAGCGCGATCAAGTGCGCGAGAGACGCGATTACGCGACATGCAAATGGAGCAGTAATGATATACCTAGAATGATGCCTAATATTCTGTCATCGCGCATGATGAGGCGCGCAGATGTCTCGCGCCTCGAACGTCTACTCTACGTCACATATATGTAGTAGGATCACATATAGGAATGAATTAATTGTAAAGTTGCTAAACGTAAAGATTGCAAAACGATCTCAAAACGACCGTGCACATAGGGTTTCGCCTATTTTTAATCGATTTCTCACGCTTTAAGGCATTAAGGGAAATTGCGCGCGCGTGCTTCGTCTGATGAAAATGAATGAATATTGTCTGGAATATAGGTTTATAGGATTATAGGTTTATAGGAATTATGGGTATTGTCGGAATTATAGGTTTTCGGCCGATTGCCGGCAATTTATCGTTCTCACGCCGTTGGAAACGAGTCGGTTGATTTTTACATTACGGATCCCTGCGCCGACCCGCGCAGGGGTCCGATCTCCGATTGACCGTCCCCGCGCGACAGATAATTCAATACGAATGTACGTTCGTTTAATACGCGAAACAACACACCTTGCAACGATCGCCGCGTTCCAGCGTGAGTCCGGTCAAGTCCGCAAGCGACGAGAAATTGCCGTAAAGCGGAACGACTGCGGCCATCTCGAAACTCGATCGTTATTTGAATTTGAATCGAATCAATTTGGCATGGAAGAAAGATCCTTCCTTCCTTCCTTCCTTCCTTCCTTCCTTCCTTCCTTCCTTCCTTCCTTCCTTCCTTCCTTCCTTCCTTCCTTCCTTCCTTCCTTCCTTCCTTCTTTCCTTCCTTCCTTCCTTCCTTCCTTCCTTCCTTCCTTCCTTCCTTCCTTCCTTCCTTCCTTCCTTCCTTCCTTCCTTCGTGAATGATGCCGAGTTTCCTTCCGCGAGTTTCCGCAAACTCTGTTTATATTTTTTCCGATTGCGCTGTTTGTTTGATCGTGTTCCTTCGACTTCCTCCTGTTTTATTCCTACCTAATTCCGCCTCGGATATATTTCGGCTATTTTTTCTCTCTTCCCTCTCTGTACTACGTTTCGTGTCGCCTCTAACGTTCGCTTCTAACATTCGACAATTTGTATCAAAAATTGCACCGAGAGCCTCTTTTCCATGCGCTCGTCCTTGTCTGTATTATGGTCGAGGTTGTATTTCACTCACAGACACAAGTCTGAATGATCCTGTCGATCCTAATCGATTTGCCCGAAATATATTACATGAAGCTGCACTTGGGCTCGATGTGACGGACGGATGGACGGACGGATGGACGGACGGACGGACGGACGGATGGACGGAAGAACGGGCGAGCGGGCGGAGGCAGCTATCGTTGATAACTGACAGTCAATCCTTAACAATCGCACAATCTCACAACGCCGCTAATCCAAATTATATCGGATAATTCTCTCCGTCTAGATCATAGCTCAAAGCTATCGGGGGTTCAAATGCACGCGGTGTTGACGCGTTCACCCGAAGACTGACTACTGCCGACGTAACGTAACACACACACACACACACACACATACAGACACACACTCGAGCCTGAGCCTCCGGGCTCACCGAGCGTAACTAGTCCGCTTCGTTCAACGCGGAGCTGAGCTGAGCAGAGCAGAGCAGAGCGGAGCGGAGCGGAGCGGAGTGGAGGTCCGCAGGAAGCCGACCCGAAAATCTCGCCCACTCCTCTCTTTTCTCTTGCGCTTCCCTCGACCTCGTCGTCGTCGTCGTCGTCGTCGTCGTCGTCGTCGTTGGCGAGGAACTCTACCGGATTTCTGCTACTGCTGCATGAGACTTGATGAGCAGGTAAAGCTGAAAAACACGAAATGGCCTGTGAAGCGTTTACTCGATAAGTATAGACGTTGTAGAGGAGAAGAGTTATCTTGTATTAATTATCGCAATTTTCTTCTCTCTCTCTCTCTCTCTCTCTCTCTCTCTCTCTCTCTCTCTCTCTTTCCTCCAAGACTTCCTTGAAATTTTAGCGCCAATGTGTAGTGTCTCAATACGCTTCGAGTGTATTATCTCATAATGCTATGCGTTGCACGTACGGTTATCGCGATTGTCGCGTGTTTTCCCGTACGTGCCTCGTGTATAATCGTCGCCGATATTCTTATCGCGTTTGCAATAAATACAAAGCAGCTGACTTGCCTACTTGAGAAAAGAAAAAAAAAAGAAACGCGTTGCTTCAAAAGATGAGATAAGATTAAGACGTAACGCTATGTATAAATATCATGGAATTTATTTCACTGTTTCAACTCTGAAATTTCATTTCTATTTTGCCTTCAACTTTTAACTTGGAAATAAAAAAGAAGTAAAGAAAGACATTTTGTCCGACAGAGTTCCACTATATCAAAACTGAATTAATGAACTAATTTTTCGCAATTTTCCTTCTTTTTTTTTTGGACTCGACGATGGTGGTACTTCACGAATGAATTTCTCATTCCCGGTTCCGTTTCTCGTCGCCGACGAAGGAATATTCGTCCCGAGGGGTTATCGTCCCGACAGACGATCTCGATGATTGCGAAAATAAAACGTGTACGTGGCAGGTGGAAGAAGGAAGGAAGGAAGGAAGGAAGGAAGGAAGGAAGGAAGGAAGGAAGGGACGAGCGAGTGTTCGGGTTAACGACCATCCGATAAGACGCCGGAGAGTTCGACGGTCGATAGCCTTCTGTAGCGAATACGCCTGTCCTTTACCTCTACCTCCTCTGCACGCGTGTATCTGTCAGAGACACAGACACATGTTACATTAATAATATATAAAGTAAAAGACAAGAGTATATGTTTCGTTGCAATTGTTATGCATACGGGCTTGCCCGTGTTTCGAATATTTCTTCGAGATTTATCGTAATCTATGTACTTCTAATAATAATTTCGTTCATTAGCATTATTTTCCCCCTGTCAATGTACGTTAATTTGTCCAATTTTATAAAACTTGACTTTGTATAATGCGACCCGCGTGTTAAGGTCTTATCTCGTGCTTTAAAATCGCGCGCTTATGTATCCGGTCGACAAGTTGGAGACTTCTCTTATCGACTGAACTTTGTTCAATCGCCGCCTTTTTTCGTTCATCACGCATAGCAGCAGTTTGCGCGAGTGTCTGGCGTTCGGTTCGGGGTTCCTGGTTCGGCGGTGGGCGCTGGGCGGTCGGTGGCTAGCACGAGCATAGCACGCGGATAGTCTTGTTGCGGTTAAATAAGTAACATTCTAATTAATATACAACTAATTACCATTATTCGGCCGAAATAGCGATTGGATATTATGTTATCGTATCGCGTATCGTAATTCGGCGGTAATAATTTCAAAGTACGAGTTTTCAGCAGCGTTCTTTTTTGATGACGTACAATGATCAGCCCCGCGTTGTAGCCGATCGTTATAGCCGATTAATATGATGGCATTAGTCATACGATCAATGTCCTCTCTAACTTAGACGCGCGTCTTTGACAGCGCAAACAATTAACGAGCATATATTTCTCGCGAGAATGTTTCTCTTCTATCGAGATAACCTAGATACCTAGATACCTAGATAGACCTATCTTTTCATTTTTAACGACAGCGTCGTCACCGTTTTCTATCATATATTGTATCTACGTATCAATAACAACCGTACGTAGCGATAACCATATTGTTGTTAAGGCTCACAGAACAGGCTTGTAGAAAAGCAAGAAAAGGAAAATTTATTCCGAATGTTTATCTGTGGCTGCGAGAAGAGAACGGTGGAAAGAGCTGCTGCCTTCTCTTGGCCAAACTAAAATGCGCACGTCTATCCGATAACCAACCGATACGACGTCGCGTCGGTAAACGTCTTTTCTAAAACGCGGGAGTATTATCGGTACTCTACACGGAGGAAAAGGAAAGAGTTCGAAGAGAATAATTAATGTTCAAATGTATACGAGATAAATGGAAACATTCACGGGGCACTTCAGAATATTGGATTATGTATGTTATGTATGCTGGATTATGTATGTTTCTCTATATAACGTCGTCGCGCAACATCACTCGATATGGGATATTCGCAATATTTTTATCCCTTATTTGTACGAGCGCCGTCGTTGCACCGTTGCACCGTTTTGTTGACATATTTCAAGCTCGTATAGTACGTGAAGGTTCAAGAAAGGAAAGTTCTATATTACACACACACATACACACACATACACACACAGGAGGCGTCTCATGCTCGCGCTTCCGCGCAGGGGCTCTACATTAACGGCCGCGGCCGCGGCGCGCGCATCGCGCACCGCGCGCATAAGCGTCGACGATCTGTAAGTCGTCCCTCCGCGCGCGAACGGGTAAACAGTGTTCCGCCGTCGTGCTGTGTACGTCGTGTTTTCGCGTCGAGAATTTTCCATCGTGCGCAGTCCGAGTGCATCGGGAGTGCCGAATGTAATAGGTATCGGGCGATACCGTTTAATGCATTGTTTCGCCACGCGTGAGCACACGCACGACAAATTCCTCAATCGCGACAAGTGCGAAAGTCTCTCACAGTCGCCGCCGCCGCCGCCGCCACTACCACCGCCGGTATCGTCGACCGCCATTTTCGTAGACACTCGTTCATGCGAGTAGCCCGAAACGCGTGATCGTACATTAGCGATCGTATATTACCGTATTACTAATTGATGACACGATCATTATAACCGTCTTTGAGAATGCGGCACGGTGCTGGCACGTACGTTGATTTCTCGCGACGCGTCGCGCCGCGTCGCGTCGCGTCGCGTCGTGTCGTCGATTTGAACAGTCGCCATTACATTTCCCGCGTTTCTTCCCGGAAAGCAAATCGCGCGAAATGGCAGTACTGATGATCGCGAATGTCGCGTGAGAGAAGTTATCTTCCGCAAGATCGTCGGCAAGAAGTCGGAGGATTTCTCACTAGCTGCGGTGGCCCGACCAGAACAACGTGATCACATCGTAGATTCTGATAGGACAGCCGCCGATTTGCATCGTGGATCTTTTTTGATGGGACTACCGGAGGCTTCGCAACGGCGGTGAGTAATTCATACATGTGAGTTTACTTCTTGAGAAGAAAGTTTATTCCACGAGTACGAAAAGGACAGAGATTCTTTGATCACTGTGTGCGAAATAATGTTATTTCAATAAAAACATCGGAAAGTGACATTAGATTCTGTTATGCGAGTAGATTTATTTATTGAATAAATCAACAACGAAACTGGACTGGATTTTTGACAGCTGATTTGGAGAAGTAATTTTATCGGAAAAGCCAAAAATACTTTGGTGGAAATTGATAACCCTCGGTTGTATTCGAACAAACGATCGATCTTTCGCGCTCGATTCAATTTTACGGATAATGAAATTGATCTCGTTTCCGTAATTCCGTTTGTTCGTTTTAAATCGCGGCATTTAAATCACTCGAAATGGGAATAAACGAAAGAGGATGTTAACGATGCATGCAACATATATCCTTCCGTATCTATCTAACGCGAATATCCTTACGATGGTACGATGGATTCACTACGAATTTTCTTTCGACGAATTTTCATCTCGTATCTCGAGTCGAGTGAGAAAGGGAAAAGGAAAGAAAGAGAGAAGAGAAAGGTCTCGCTGTCCAATTCTTCTATCGAAAAGTTCGCTCTGCTGCAAAAACTCCCGAATGTAAACACTGTTGACACTCTTCAAAAGTCGAATCGTGCAACGTGCAGCAACGGGGCAACTGAGTTAGTTGAGAAAACATTTCATCGTGCGTGTGTGTGTTCATTTAATTTTCAATAGCTTTATCGAAGCGAGATTTTTCAACATACTCGTAAGTTAAATTCACTTGAAATTGAAACAAAGAATAAGGTATTCGCATTTTATCAGAACTTGCAAAATAAATTTATTAGATCGTACAGTTTCATACAATAGACACAGTTTCAATTAATTATAATAAATATTACAGAGTAATGTATTGTGTGTGTCTGTCTGTCTTGAAACTTGGCTCGAGGAAAAATTTGTTTTACATTATTCATCAAAGAATATCGGGTCGTGTGGCTCACGAGCGTAAATTATAGAACAGCCGTTTTTAGATATTTTTATCTGAAAAAAAAGAAAAAAAAAAATATATATATATATATATATATATATATATAGAAAATGTCAGTCTCAAATTATTAGTGAAATTGTCTCTGTCGCGCGGCAACGGGTGTTCGTTAAATAATGAGCCACTCTTTCCTCTCGCTTTATGGACCTGACTGACCATTCACCAATCAAGATCCATCGTTTATGACGTTATTCATAATAGCGTAATTTACGATTTATCGCGCTGCGTCACTAGATTGTCTTTTTTTCGCGAGCGTTGCCCTGCACTTTCCGAGAGACAGATTGTATTTCGATAATTCCGCACGTTAAACACGATCGCGATGTGACGTGACATTTCGAACATTATCGTCATACGCATTAACGCATATCCGGTAATCAGACCGGTAATATTACCTATCCCGTCGTCGGCTATGTCGGGATATGTCATCTAAATATTATATCTTATAAGCGAACAAAAATGGTTGCCATATTTTTGAATTTATCAGAACGAAATTTGAATACCGCATTTGTAATCCACTTCGCGACTTATTCGCGAATAAGGTATCATTTAATTATTCATTCATCTGTTCAAGATTTTGTTATTGAACATACACTTGAGCTTGAGCCGGAATTTATTATCTATCGTGAGTAAAGAAACATCGCTAAAGCTGACTTATATTTCTAGTAATTTCTTGAAAAGTGAACTTTCTGAAAAGTAAATCTTCTGGGCCTATACTTTCCGCTTTTGTTGAGTTTCTATTGTGTTGCTAATCGAAATTAAAATTTCTATTAGCGTCAGTACAGTCTCTTATTAACAGCATTATTGGATATCATTACAATTGCTATTCTTGCAACTCTTCAACAGTTCCTTCATAACTTTTCTACAACTTCTCCATTGGAATTTTTAAGTTTAACGAAATTAGTCCAACGGAAATATAGAGGAAAAATTTCGACTCGGGTGATTAGCACTTGTTACTGCGCCGATTACAATGTTGGTGTAACACGCGTGCGACCTACGTTAACAATTAACGGCATTAACATCGCAAAATTTACATCCGTTGATTTTCCGTTACCGTTGGAACTTGTCTCGGCGCCCTCGCTAATTGACAAAAAGGCGATTGACCCTTGGGACAGGGACACGGAGTTCACCACCCCTCGGAACAATCAGTGACTTCCGGCGTGTCGCGCCACGTCTGTGTGAATCATTTTGATACTTCTATATCAATGTTTTTATCCCGCTGCTTTATTTAATGCACTCATACCCGCCGTCTCCTTTTTTTTCCGCTGCACTATTCGTCACTGTTCGCAAAGGCGGTTGGCTCGCATGACTTGTTCGTCGTTATCCCCTTCTTTTCCTTTATCGTCGTTTAACAATGCTGATGCTCTGGCGTGTTTACAGCTCTCTCTCTCTCTCTCTCTCTCTCTCTCTCTCTCTCTCTCTCTCTCATTCTTTCACTTTGAAGCCACGATGCTATCTCACATTGCGGCGCGACGTCGTATTCCGCGAATAAAGAAAAACGCGCCTTTTATCTATTTTGTGACTAACTTAATAGCTTGTTGTTTCGAAATTGGAAATTATGAGAGAGTAAACGATATTCTGGCGTCTGGGGTGGTGCCTATCTCCAAAGTTTGTATCTTTTTCTCTTGAATTAAAATTGATGCTATTGTTGTAGGTAGGTATATTTGTCACGATATATTGGTCACGGATCAGGAAAAATCGCATTTTAAAATATCCATCTTAGGCTTTTTATTCAAAATATGTGAAGTTTTAGAGTCTAATTTGGAGAAATGTACATGTATGTGTGTATGCACAAGAGCCTTCCTTTAGGATCAATTGTAAAAGAATACTTTTGGCGGTTAAGCACAAAATAGATAAAAGGCCAGGTAGGAATGAATTTGAACGAGTTGCTGCGAGAGTCAGGGCCGTGCCGGTGTCGTGCCCGTGTGGCATCCACTGTCGCTCTGCTTCCGGCGCGGCGCGCGGAGCACCCACACGTCTTCGGCAGGATGAATCCGTCGCGCGACTTATCTTTCAGCTTGTATACTTTTATCTCGCGGGAAGCGGCTGGTCGTTGGCCCACACGGTGATTTAACGGCCATTCATCGCTGTACGTGCGTTATTGTATTTGTTGACGTGCTTTAAAAGCACGATGATACGATTCGTTTTGGGTTCGATGCACTTGAAAATTTGCACCTACATACATACATATATGTACATACAAATATATATCTATATATACACAGACACACACACACACACACACACACACACACACGTTTGCGTGTATGCGTATTAATTGACCGCGTATCACTAGCTCGTTATCAAACAAGCGCGACGATGCCTAAACATAATTCGCTCTTCGAACATTCGTTACATTCCGGCTTATTCCGGTTCCAATTGAGTTCTCAGCGCGGTGTATTTTCGACTTTCATTTCTAGGCAGGGTTAGTTAATAAAAATTAATAAAAATCTTGTCAATTAAAAGTACCGGAACGTTGAAATTAATCTAAATGTCGTTTGTTAAACTAATAATGATTAAATTGTAGCGGTACGATGTTACATATTCTTCACAAGTAAACTAATTATTCTGGCGGCGATTAATTTAACGCTCGTGCAATTTATTAATAATTGATATATTAATTTTATGATTTTCAGTTACACCGATGAGGTGCCAGATTAGATAGATCGATGATCGATTTGATCGATGATGATGATGATGATGATATTTCTCGATGTGAAGAAAATACTAAATATTTATTTAAAAAAAGATAGGGATATTTAACATGCAATATTGATGCGTATGTATAGAATACGAAGAAAAAGTCATGTATTGGGACTCATGTAATTATATCAAGATTCCAGCGAAATCTCTTTTACATTGAATCGATATACATCGTAATTATCACGTATATCCGAATTCAGTGAAATTGGATTATATGACGGACTTTGTTCGCAATTCGATACGGATTGGATTAGCGTCTATATCACCTGCGATGCTTAATTTCCCTTTCGCAACTTGTTAATTCTGTCGATTTTGATGTTATCAATGGACACAGCATAAAGAGACATTAACTTTGCTATGCATATTACAATATACGTATTATATATGTACTATATTGTATACTGTATATTGTATATGTATTGTATATGTATTATATATATACTAATGCACATTTAACTTTACAAAATCGTCTTCTTCACAATGATGCCCTCTCAGATCAAATCAGATCAACCTCACACACGCGTTGCGCGTACATCTTTTTTACATGTGTGAGACCTGTATGTTCTCTGATATCTCTCAAACAGCTGTTTCGACCGTTGCGCTGTTACGGAGCGACAACAAACATGTAAGTCGCTCGCTATCGAGCGTGTTCGAATTAGCATGCGATGTAGGGTTGATAATCTCACCCTGTGTGTATTCCGCTGTGTTACCGTATCGACCGGCCAGGGAGACCAGGCGGAGAGGAGCGGGAGAAGGCAAAAAGGACAAGATGTCCTGCTGCGAGAGTATCGTTAAAGGGGTCAGATCCGCGTCATCCGGCCGGCGACGATCGTCCGTCAATTGGGTTTACGCGTGTGTATATACCCAGACCCAAAGGGTCTACACACGCACGCACACACACACACACACACACACACACATCTTTGCATGGATGAACACGTGCACACATACAACGTGGAATTAGAGGAAACGTCACGATACATGGATGGTAAATTAAATTTATCCGTGGCGCATGGCTCGCATCTCGGATGCACATCCGAGTCGCATTTCCATTTATTTGCATTCAGAATTGTTCGTTTCGCACGAGCGAGCTGTTACATACTATCTCTTTCGCGCGAGACATTTGTTTTTCCTTTCAGCCGCGCGAGCACAACGTGTTCCGCACAACTGTGGTTCTGCCGCAGCCTTTACTAGGCTTTGCTACTAAGGAACGACTATGAGAATAACAAGTAAAAGTAAGGTGCAGTAAAT